ACAACGCTGGAGAAGGAGGGATATCGCTTCGCAGTTGTCAATCTTGGCAGCAAGTTGAAGGGGAGTTAGCCCATCTTCGTTCGTCATGTCGATGGAAGCTCCTTTGTCCAAAAGGAAGAGGATAATTCGCGGCCTTCTCCATTGCACCGCAAGGTGAAGAGCAGTGTCTCCAGTGTGTATGTTTCGAAGATTGACGTCGACTTTGTTTTTGACAAGCAGCGGAATAGTTGCTTCATCTAGCTGTGTTCCGACAGCTACTTGCAAGCTTGTTGCACCTTTCTCATTTGCTTTTTGGGAATTGGCTCGGTGTGCAAAGAGCACCTTCATGACCTTTCTATGGCCGTAGAGTGCTGCCAGGTGTAACGCTGTGCTGCCATCCCCAGCCACTGCGCTTATATCAGCTCCATGTTCAAGCAATAGTTCGACCATCTCGTCGTTTCCACGATAAGCGGCACAATGTAGCGGAGTGTATTTCAATGCATTATCATTTGCATCAACAGGAGAACCTTGAAGTATGAGACGTTTTGTTCTGGGCAAGATGCCGTAGAAGGCCAGAACATGAAGAGCTGTCCAGTCTTCAGGATATCTTCCCAGTCCCAACTCTTCCGGAAGCTGTTTCTCAATAGGAGTATCTTTTAGCGGCGGTCGCCTCCAGAACAGTTTATTGAGAAACGTCTTCGTCAAGACTTGTATTGTTTGTTCATCTTCGGTGACGTCACGCGCATGGTAGCCCCAATACATTGCTGCATAACTGAGGAATCCGCTATCTGAACTGCGAGGAGCGGATCCGCAGCTAATGTAGCAGTCATCTACCACTTCATCCGGTGTGATGGCAGTGAGGCAAACTTCAGCAATGTCCTTTTGAGCGGTGGGGAAGAACACTCTAGCCGCTGTGCCACTAAGGTACTCCCTAGCAGTTTTGTGCACAAAGCGTACACTCCCTGTGACAGGATCTACAGTGAGAATACCCGAGCTCTGAGTCTGCAAAAATTGCTCGAACGTTTCTGTTCCCTTGCTTTCATCAACCGGGGAGCCACCCGTGGCACATTTTAGCTCCGTCACAGTCAATGGTCGTAATGCGTAGAGAGTCCAGTAGACATAGCGTGCAGCCTTTGGGTTTTGGCTAACCACCTGCTTCATTGCTTCGCCATAAGCCTCACTGAGGCTTTCAGGCAAGTGGGCAAGAGCTCTCTGCAGGAGGTTGGGGTCTTTATAGCGCGAAAGGAGGTCGAGGTGTATTTTTGCCAGCAGGAACCTGAAATGTCGTTCCACATAAGCCTTCAAACGCTCTTCTGGGTGTGCAATTTCTGCGGGCCATCTGTACTTACAGGCCATGACATTTCTCAGTCACCGTGCATATGACTTCCTCATATAGCTGAGACATAGTTTCATCGTTGAACAAGGCCCTTAAGCTTGGATCTTGTTGAATTCGAGACATGGCATACATTGAGACGTCCTCTCCTGTGCCTAGGACACTGACATAGGAAGCATTTCCGACCCTTGTCACCTCCCGCAAGGTGACCAAGAGCTGCGCCTGCTCTGGGAGTTTTTGGAGTCGGCCAAGAACACGCTCCTTGTCAGAAAGCACATCCAGCCCATCGATGACTAGGAAGACCTTTGAGAAGCGGTTGATCTCTGCACGAATGGCATTCTGGTATGCCTTGGACGAGGCCCTCCCTTTGGACAATGACTCGGAGTAGTAAAGGGAGGAAGTCTCGTATGAAAGACTCCGTTTTCGATAAACTAGCTGAGCTAGTATGTTGCGCAAGATCTCGATGGAGCTTTGCTCTCTTGCCTTTTCCTCGCGACAGAATATAAAGACAGTAGCGATATCTGACGATGTAAAGGTCCGTTGAAGCGAATCGATAATGGCAGATCTAGAGGTGTTAGCATCCGCAAAGATGTGAGAAAGGCTTGTAGACTTACGATAGAAAGGTCTTTCCTGCACCAGCTACACAGGTGAGCACCCATGTTAGCATATTAACAGAAGGGAGCGGGTGTATGGAGAAACCTACCAGGACCTACGCAGTAAAGCGTCTTGAAAGCACCAAGCAACCATCTCCTGTACTCAACATGGTCGAAGAACCAACGACATGATCCTTGCAGCCGTCGATTGCACATGTCTGCCAGATCAATGAATTGCTCCGAGCAAAGCCGGCTTGTCAACCCAAGAGCATCTTCTTCAAACTGGAGATCGATTTTGGGGCCTGAATATGTTAGACAATCTCCCCAGTAGGTGCACAGACCGTCAGGGTGCATTTCATACCGCAGTCCACATGACTAGCCAATCTAAGAGAGTATCTGATCTCCTGATCCAGAGAGGTTCGGTCACTGCAACCCGTTTCAATTAGCTGAGGCCGTCTCATAAAGACAGCATTACAATGAAAGAAAGATATACATACTCGGAGTCCGGTTGCATGGCCAGCAGCAGCAGGATCTTAAACTGTTCCAAACGGGGCAAGAATGTTCTTTCGAGAAGATGCTTTCGGAAATAAGCCACGCTCACCCCACCAGGCTGGAAGTAAAGCTCGATGGCCTTCATGGTCGACTCAAGCCAAGCTACTACCTCCGTCAAAGCATCAAGTCGCGGGGGGTCCACGTGCCATTTTTCCTGTCCCCAGCTAATCTGATCTTTGACGCGATATAGAAGATCTTGTATGTCAGACAGTAGTGTGAGTGCCCTTTGAGATGCTTCTTGCGAATCTCTGCGGGTACTGAGGCAGCGCATTACAATGCGAGTGGACTGAGTGGCCTGTGAGAGGGCCTCGCGAAGAGTTGCGATCTCGACCATTCTGTTCGTGCGGGCTGCTGGTTTTGATCTTTCCTGATTTTCGAGAAAAACGGAAGTATCTTGTAAGGTCATAAGAATACAAAGCCAGGAAGCAACATAGACGCGAAAAGAAACGCTAAAGCGACAGAAACGTTAGGTGCGGTGGGAGGATCTTATGATAGAAGTTGCAAGGTTTTGATATGCGTAGAAATGAGACTGACAGAGTAGGAAATGAAAGAGAAAAAGAGTTACTAGCCGATGAGACAAGACCGTGCTGAAGCGCCAGATCCTCCACGAAGTGGGAGATTGAACGATGGCTAATCAATTTGTCCGGCTGGTCTCGCTCCGACTGGGGTTCCAACAGTAGCGGGCGGGAGAAGCACCGGCTACTGGAGCGAGCGACAGAGAGAGAGAGAGGCGTCCCCTCCAAAGAAAGCCCACCGATAGCCGCCGAAGCTTAGTAGGTACAGCGACAATCAGTCCATTGTTGGTCGGCAGTCACATGGCAGGCGTTTGCGAATTTTCTTGCCCTACAGGTGATGTGATGGCCCCTCCACGCGGTTGTTCCTTCTCTTTCCACCCCAGCTCTACTCGATCTATATCTACCGTAAACTCCCCCGCCTTCCCCATGTTTCTTACCACGAGTACCCGTTCAATGGCTTTCTTTTTGCTAGTAGTATGGTATACCTGGAGGGGTTCAGCTTGTTGCTAGACAGGCTACTCCGTACTAGTCACTAGCAGCTGGCAAGTAACAACCCCGGCTTGCCAGGCTACTACTTCTCTAGCAGACTAAAGTACCCGTGCCTGTTGGATCATCATCCTAGGAAGGCACTACCAGGACGTCACTAGCAACTAGCGTGGATGACTACGGCTACAACAAAGAAAATGGATGAATCGCACGGTGATAATCGCCATCCGATGGTCCCATGTAGCTCCACCACCAGAAACAAGTCGCAACATTGGTTGGGTGGTGTTGGAGGTCTGGCGAGGGAGGTAGATTGAAAGTTGCGACAGTCGAGGTAGGGGAACAGCCAGTGGAGTAATCAGTCCGCCGTAGATGTGATCACTGCCGTTCGCCTGCATGGGCCGAACCACTCTCCGCCCAAGGTTAAGCGCCCGGGAGGGACCGTCCATGTGCCCCATGGCCAATGATAGCCGCAGTCGACCCTGGTAGGTGTGATCAACTTACCATCGAGACCGGCACGCGCGGTGTTGACCTGGCAGGCACAGGCCATTCGGATGCAGCTTGCATTGCGCGACAGGGCGATGGGGTTGATCGGCGCCACCACTTGCCTGTCCGGACGCATCAATGTAGGTGCATCCTAGTTGGGTTGACCTGCGGCGGGGAATTGGGTGGCAGGTGATGACAATTAGAATGTATCAAGTAGAGTTGCCTGGTTATTTTGTTCTTTTGGAAAAGGTGTAAGGAGACGCTAAACAATTATATTCTGTAGTTTCCATAAATTTGCTAGCCAACAATGAGCGAGATGATTAGAATATAAGGGAGGGGGAGATGATGGAGATAATGAAAACACACATATTAACCACAAGGAATCAGATCTGTACGTGACACAATTTATGATTCCTTCTATTCCAAACCGCTAATTGTGTTCTGTGCTGTGGACGAACCTACTACGGAGTAGAGGAGGCCACTGACTCGCTCATTGAGCAATGAACAGGCACCCCTCTTCCAACCCATGCCTTAGCGTGACTTGATTGAAATTCCATCATTGGTCGGTCAACTCAATCAATGTTTGGAAAGCCCATTTCTCGCACGCCTGTGCACTCAGCTTGTGAAATTGAGCTTTGTTACGGGATACACTCAGACACTTACTCTGCTTCTAGGAGACAAAGAGCGCTTCTTAGGGGAGCTGAAATTCCTACATGTCAAATGTGTTGCACTCAGGAATATTTATAACGATTCATGTAAGTATTGCCATTTTCAACTGCCAATTCTTGAAGCCAGGTGTACGAGTAAATAATGATTTAGTATATAACAATTGTCATAAACTGAGTCCAGCTCCAGGGGTATCGAAGATTATCTGTGCAATCACTATGGGAAGCTGAGTGTGAACCCAGCTTGCCCCAAACCTCTCACGTCTAGCCATATGCCTGTGCGGCGCATACAAAGGAAATGGGTCTGAGAGTGTCTAGTACAAGGAAATAGTGATGTCAACATAAAGAAACGGTCATGAAGTCGTCACACCGGAGATTTTCGGTGCATGAGTTTAAGAAGGCCGGAGCCAACAAGGAGAAGTAAATCAGAAAGCCAGAAATAAGGTAACAGCAGAAACATAAACAAGGGGTATCAGGCAAGCCGCACGAAGGTCGAATATCATTCAATACGGATTCACAGAGTAACGTCCTTAAGGCCTGCCATGAAGAACTATCGCTCAGATGAAATTTCCGTTATGGCTGACAGACGCGCCATTCTCACGGTTCTTTCGGAGAGCTTTGGCAAGCATCAGCTCTCTCATCCAATCAATGCGCTGTTCCCGTGTTGTCACAGCAAAGTGGTGTGCCTTGGGGCCATTCGTAAAGAAAAGCTTTCGATCAAAAGTGCTGGTGGTTGGTGAAGGGATCAATGAGAATGTAAATGCTGCATCTCCCCTAGAGTCATTTCTGCGCTTCAAGACAGTCTTCTTGAACGCGGCAGTAAGCTTCGAGCTAGAAGCAAGAGATGAGCACGCTACAGCATAATCATCCACATCAATGTACTCCAGTGCCTTCGAGTCTTGACGGGAAGCCTCCGCATCAGGGTACATTGCAAGCTGCGTGCCTCTCAAGGTAAAGTGATGCTCCTCCCATTCATGACGTAGGAATCGAGTGGTCTTGCGCTTTTTCATCCAGCCACTGTGCAGAACATTCTTGGACCAGTTTGGCGAGAATGGGCCCTTACAGTGAGCTGCACGAGGGGTCTTCTCCATGTCTTCAGGGGTTTCAATAGGCGGAAGCGGTGAACGTTCCTCGAGGCTACCCAGTTTTGGGATGCTCTGGGTGCTCCAGATACCACCCTTTCTGCAAACGTTTTCTGCTTTGGTAGATGCTGGACGAGGGATGATATCTGGCACAAAGTGCATCTGTCCACCAAACCGCATGTTTGGGGGCACGGATTGCGAGATGTTCCGAGATACAGGGCCCAGTGGAATGGCGGTCACAGGGACATCCATTTCAGATAATGGGGTGCTTCTGCCATAGTAGGGATCAATCCTGTAAAAGTCGGATGGTGACATTGTGACTTCGGAGGGGCTGGGAGAAGGGTAACGGCTTCTATGAGAAAACGGTTGTTTCTTTTGCAATATAGACGGGGTAATAGTGCGCTGGGCCGAATAATTGGGCGAAACTGTCGAACTCACTTCAACATGAGTACTAGGGATCCGCAGTCTTGGAAGATGCCGTAGGTTCTCTGAGAGGGTGGCATTTGCCCTTATTGAAGTCGGTGAAGTTGTTCCTGGAGAGAGATGCTCTTGTGGGGGCGTTGCAGGATCCGTAGCTGGCTGGAGCTTGCTCAGGCGTTGAAAATTGAGAAAATTGCGTACATTCTCCTGCGGGTCCCGTTGCTTGACACCGTGAAGCTTGTCCTGTGATAGGAGATTTTCGGATGCTGGGTTCTGACCCAGAGCATCAGACGATGCAATAATGGATGGTGTAACTTCTGACTTGGGTGTTTTGTTCAGATTCTGCGCTGTAGGAGCATTGCCTGGGTCTCCAGTGATAATGATAGAGCCACCCATGCCATCAATGGGGAGATCTTTGACCATTCTGCCCAGTTTCACCTGCTGCTTTTGCCATTTGCGGCAGTTCTCGCCCTTGGAGCATGTATGGAGCTTGGGTAGCAGCTGCTCAATTGCGACTATCGAAGCGGAGTCCTCGGGTACAATCTCGGTGCCATCTCGTCTCTTGTGACGACGCCGCCGCTTGTGATGGGAGGACTTAGAGCGCTCCTTACTTTCACAAGGCTCAGGACTCGAGCAACTGACACCGACCTGAGCAGCGGTCGATTGCGGCGTAGATGTATCTTCCCGGGATATGGGTTCTACGTCCGATTGAGAGTCACAGGCGGGTGTGGTTGCCTTGCTTCGGAGGTCTCGGATACAACCCATCAACCGGTGTCGCTTTCCGAACGACTGGATGTCGAGCTCCTTCAAATCCTCTGCTTGAAGTTCAAGGAGAATGGAGCCAGTTATGTCGTTAATGAAAAACTTCTCGACCACTGTTTCATCGAAACCGCAACGTTGCATATATGTCACGACATCTTGAGTAGTCCAGTCGGCGACCTCGTGCTCTTTGGTATTAGGCTCCCTTACATCGGTCGCATGCTTGGTGTGTGACGTGGAGGTATTATGTACCGGAACCGGTGTGTCTTTTCTTTCGGGCTCAGGCCGGGACGCAGAGCTTGAGAGGGGTGTTGTCGAGGTACTGGGAACTTCATCATCGGAAGAAATCAAGACAAAGGACGATCGACTCTCGGGACGTTCTGGTATGATTCGGAAGAGATGCGGGCCGACCGGACCCTTAACAGGGCTTTCGTCGATTTGGAAGTGAAATCCTGTAAGGCCAGTTGAATCTGGGGTCCTTAGATCATCGGATACTTTGTAGTAGTGTGGAATCAAGATGTCCGGTATACGTATATCATCCGGTGTCCCGATGTCATCCGGCGTTAAGGCAGTAGTTACGCTTTCTGTCCCAAGCTGCAGTCATTTGAATTAGTCACTCCGTCTAATATTCTCAGGGTAGAATAGAAGAAACTAACAGATCCAGCACTACGAGGAGTGTCGTCCGAATAACCTTCATGTGAGTCGGAATCAAAATCGGATTCAGCGATGTCTGTAGTGTCGGTATCTGACACCGGATGAGGTGGAAGAATAGATGGGAAGTAATGCATCTTGACAGGTCACGATGAAGATAACTGGTCGCGCACTTTCTGTCTTTCGGTTTTAGTTGCGTTCGTCGTGACAATGAGGAGGGAGACGGCTACCATACAAAGTTGGTGGAATAGCGGTGAAGAGCCGATAACTATTTGCTTCTTGGACCAGCCAAGAGAGCGTTGTATTGTCTTGACCGTGCTAATGTCTTGACGTAACCTTCTTTTCTCACGTCCTGACCCGGGAGGGCCACAAACCAAAAGGCAGAAGGATGTAGCAATGGTGTGGAAGGATGATGCGATGCAATGAGTATGGTATAGAGGAGGGGTGTTGAAGAGAAGGTAGTACAGTAGATCGACTGTCGCTAGAGAACGACGATGGAGTAGATGTGTGAGTACGGAGTAGGGGAATGAGGAATACAACCGACGCAGGGCGGCAAGGCGATTCGAGATGTATAAGTATGGGACAATCGAGGAGAATCACTCCTGGCAATGTTTAAAAAAAGAACATGCCACGGCCGGAAACCCCCAGAGTCGCAAATACGTGACGACGGCATCCCAATGAACGAAGGTCGATGGGGGAAGGATGGATGTGACGGGGAGAGCCTGCAGATGCATTAGGTGGGGTGAAATGCACACCGTCGAATAAGTCCTCGTCGTTGCGTTCCTCCCTCTAGTGCTAGGGTTCTGATTCGTCGCTTCCCTGCCCGACGGGTATATGCCAGCGCTTCGAGGAAACCCATCAGAGCCAATTCCGACCGTTGATTGGGCGCATGCAAGTCACTGCATCGTCGCAGACTTTGTAGCCAGAGGACATAGCTCACGGTGGTGGCCGACGATTGGCTGTGACTGGGTGAAACCGGGCACGCTACTGCTGTGACGACGGGACCGTGGGGTGATGGCGAACGGGGTTGGTCCATTCTGGGGGATGCTAAAGCAACTTAATCACCTCAACCACTCCTTCATGGATAATTATAGCTACACAAAGGCCTCTAGGGCTTGCTTGGTGGAAGAAGGGCGGCTAAATGCTCCAAGAATAGTATCTATTCCCAGGATTAATGAAAACAGATCCATGCACCGACTTTGCTTGGCAGTCAAGTCATAGGTACAGGAGCTTTGACGCTCTTACCCCTCTCCATCTATGTACTGTGACCATGGTTTGGGCACAAGTTTTCTTCGGCTGTCATTTTAATTTAGCTCGATCCTAGATCTTCCATGTCTAGTATCAAACTGCCCTCATGCACCCGTCGCCATGGCGATCGCACATGATACCTTTCACTTTGTCGCATCCTCTACACAACGCAACAACTTCCTCTCTTCTCCTCTTTCACACCTTTCGTTCTTTATCACACTTTGCACACTCTCTTTACCTGCAACCTTACCAGTATGATGCTGTCGATAATGGATATATGCTCACCAATTTATTATGATTTCACTTTCGTGGCTTTTGATCCAACAGTAGATTGATAGAATTATTGAAGCTTGTCCAAGCACTGCTCTAATTGAGGTCTTGTGAATGTTTCTCTCAATTCCATCCACTTTGCTTCCGCTTTCGATGCTTATGTTTTAACTGTCTCATTGCTCACTCGCTATAAATCTGTCTCTTACTGTGTCTTCGCATATGTTTCAGATGTCTAGTAGTATTGTGGCTTAGCACCCTTCATCCCATTTCCCATGCTACCCGTGGCATGCATATGCAGGGCCCAAGAAAGACATTCAGCCTCTACCTCCGAGATAGAGATCACTGCTCCGAGATGCATGATATGTAAACCTTATCTGAGCAAGACACTTGGACTCTACCAGGAACGGGTGATATCTCCGTGATGATGCATGAATGGGTGAAGAGCTCGAAATGCATGTAATTGTACATATTCAATTCATAGCCCTATTTTATGGTTCAAATACTTTTCAATTTATGGATTTCGACTGGGCTGTAAGTTTATGTAGCCGAATAAACCTTCCATAGATGCCGACTATCCGTATCATCTTCGGCGAGTTCAGCTCCCTGGATGCAGGTATGATAAACAAGAAGATATGTAGACGCCATGTCATGCTAGCAGTGTGTTACTCACATATATGACTAAGTATTTAAAGTCCCTTGGGGATTTGGTAAGCGTCGAATATGATGTTAGATTAGGGCAGTATCATTCTGGCTAAAATATCTACATCAAGTTCATTCTTAACTCAATATATGGGACTGGGGATAGCATAGTGAATTTAAGGACAATATCCCCTAATTAGCTGTCTTGTTCGAAGGAATACACAGGATGCATCCCATCTCGCGGCTACGCTTCCCGGCATGACAAGGCACGCATATCGAGACGCTGGATTGAAATATGGCTTCTCGCTCAGATCCTAGCTCGTATAGCGGCATGAGGGATTTTGCTATCATCCTCCATACTCCAACTGATAGCTGTGTAAGCTCAGTCGAGATCCAATACATGTTGCGAAGCCACTACGAATTAGTGTATAACCAGCAGCAAGTTGACTGCGGCAGTTACCACACCCTACATCAATATCCAACGTCGCTACATTGTCAAGGACTGCTCCCTATGGTCGATAATTGGTGAGTATACATCGGTGGCCACGCCGTGTTGCCGCCTGAGTGCGATATCACACACGGCGTATCTCCCAAATGATATTTTTGTCGAAATCCATGCGATAGTACCAGCCAGCTGGTACTGGGAGGGGCCGTGATCCGACATCATCCACTGCATGACATGACTTCTAGGCTTAGCGCATGTTGCTAATTATGTCTCTCCGCGCTTGAGTTAGTGGACCGGAGCTGTCATTAGCTTCAGGTGGGTACTCTGACTACAGTGGTTAGGGTCTGCTTCAGAGTTCTTGACCCTGCCTGACACGTTGGGATAAATATATCAACGAATAGGAGCACGGTTATTAATAGCAAACCGCCGCGCTTCGAGAAGAAAGAGGAGTATTTAAGAGTTCAGTCAGTGAACCCGGCGGCTATCTTTGTTTCAGCCCTTTGATCTAGCATAGGGTACCGCTTGAACAAGCAATTAAGCAGCATCCTACACAGAGCTAGCGGGCGGTTAAGTGTTACTAATTAAGGGGGACGTGCCAATAGAATGGCGGGCCAACAAATCAGATCTTATCAGTCCGCAATTGACATAGTACCCATTTTCGGCACGGGCCATCACAATTGTCGAATTCTGGTTGGTTGGTTGTCCTGGATTTTTCGGACCGGACCTGCTTAGCGCCGACCAACCAGTCCCATCGAAGCGCCGTGGCCAACTTTGGCGGCGAATGGTTGGAAAGCAATAGAAGCTTGGCATGCACCTCCCTCACTGCTTTCACACTCTAAGCTCTCTAACGCCGTTTCATCAGTCGCCGTGTGGCTCACTAAACAGGAAATATTCCAGTCCGAAGAGAATGACAGCCAATAAATGTTGATACCTCCAAGCGCCGAACAGGGATGGCTCACACACCTCGTTGGCCATGTCCAGTTTTCTGTTGCGATTCAGTCAATTTCCGGAACATGTCCAGAAGCATACACTATAGTTAGAGAACCAGGGAAAAAAGGAGCCATTATAATGTGAATAGATGAAGACGAAAGGTGACAATGAAAGGAAACTCTATGGTAAGGATGAGTGGGTAGAGGGGGGTGGTTCGTACCACCGCCTATCAGCGCTCTGAAAGCCGCGGCGCCAACCACTAGGTGCAGACCCTGACCGGGGGCCCCCGTCCTTTTCTCCCTCCCAACTCGACAAGATCGTCCCCAGGCACCTTCAGGCCAGCGTTCCCAAATTTAGCTCCTAAACGCTGACCATTCGTAGCCTGCATGAGATCTTCCCCGCTCGCAGTTCGTATGTTGGCTCGATGCTCCTGCATCCCAACTTAGCTCTACCGGCTCCATCGTCAAAAAATAGAAGCATCATAGCATGACGCTTTATCGCAGACTATACATAAAAGACATCATCTCCGGATGTATCAAGACATCATGTTCGACAACAATTTGTCTCGCATCACCTCCTCTCCTAGGCGACAAGTTCGATCTGCTATTCTTTCGGTTACAAAAGCCTCGACATTCTCCTACCACTGCTCTACAACATATTGCATATCAACTACACCGGGCTTCTCCAGCCTCCGGTTACCTTGATATTGATATTGTTGTTTTGTTTTCTGGTGTTATCCTCTACTTGGTTTATATTATAAAAGTATATTGATACCTCGACGTGATTGGCAAGTCTCTTGACGGTCAACATGCCCCGGGCCATAGCGACCGCTAGGACTACGCAAACGAGCGCAGGTTCGGTACCGTTGGGTTCTGGCGACAGACTCGTTCGGTCCTACACCCGCTCACGCAATGGTTAGTCAGCTGAAGGGTGTGGATTATTCACTGAACTTCAGGCCACTGACGGAAGCTATGCACTAGGCTGTTTCACTTGTCGGTTGCGAAGGAAGAAGTGCGACGAAAATCATCCAAAATGTAATAGTTGCACCAAACTCGACCTCATTTGCGACTATGCTGAGCCCCCGTGGTGGAGGAGTTTGGAACAGCGGGACATACACAAGGAGAGGATGCAGAGAAGGATCAGGTTCAATAAGGTGATGGAGAAGGAGAGAAATCTCCAAGGTATGTACCGGTCGCGCCTTGGACTGTTTGAGTTAACTCTCATTGTTATCTGATAACAGCGTTCGTGGATCGCACTCTCCCAGGGGTCAGGAGGATGAACGTCACTTCCGGATCCCATCCAACGCACACCATCACATACGGCCCATACAGATCAGAGACGTCCACATCCGAAGCACCTCCGACACCGTCGACGGCTGGGTTCGGTTTCGATAATGCCCAGCCGTCGTGGCAGGGAACAGTTCCTTCGGCTCTCAACATTCTCGGCTCGCAAGATCTACCAGGACAGCTGCCACTGCCACCACTATCACAACAGCTACCATTGCCGTCATTGACACAGCAATTTCCGGTGTCAGAGCCATTCCAGGAGTCTCTTCCAGGCTTCTCCCACCAGATTCCTCAGGTACCGCAGCAATTCTCCGAGCAGAACACGTCGCAGATGTCGCTCTCAGCGTCCACGTCCAACAACGACTGGCCTCAAGGATACCACAGCGAGTCCATTACTGACGATAATGCTGGTTTAGAGCAATTGTCTAAGGATGAATCACTCGCCGCATATTTACAGGCAATGACCGTGGCTGCCGCTGAGCGGCCACTGCTCAATAACTTCGTTGACAAGGTCGTGAAGCTGATCTTTCCGGTACTCGATATCCATCCTCAAAGCCTCTCCCGGACGCATGAAATTCTGCAATCGATCGAAACCAACAAGCCTTATTTCCACGTCTGTATGAGTGTATCTGCCCTTCACATTAAGACTGTCAATGCCAGCCATACCTGGCGAACACAGGACAAGGTGATCGATGACATCATGCGGCACCGATGGGCTTCTGTTTCAGAGCTATGCGATGCACTTAACTTGGATGAGAATCATAGCAAAGTTCTGGATGCAACGCTCGCGACAATCTTCTTTCACTGCGCTGTGGGAGAGCCTGATGACTATCTTCCGGATATTCCTTGGTACGAGCACTTTACAGCAGTCTCCAACCTCGTCAACAAGCTGGGTCTGCTAGAGATGCGCCCCTCCACGGATTTACCCTTCAGCATGTCGCTCACTACGTGGATCGATATTCTCGGTGCTACAATGCTCGGCAGATCGCCTCTATTCGCTCACGCATATCGCGCCAAGAATTTGAGCGGAGTCGCGTCGGGTTTGCAAGAGCTCATGGGCTGCGAAGATCGTATAATGTACTTGATTTCGGAAATCGCATGTCTTGAATCGTTGATTAGGGAAAGACGTGTTGATGAACAGGGTCTTCGCCTTCACATCTCTGCTCTGACCGAGCAACTCGACAATGCGGAGATCGAACCCTCTGGGAACCCGTGTACTTCGTCGGGCAACATCTGCCCCAGGAGGCTTACGGAAAACATAACGGCGGTGTTCCGAGCCGCCGCACGGCTCTATCTTGCGACTCTAGCTCCTGGGTTTGATCGCTATAGCAAGTACACTGCCGACCTTGTCGAAGCTATTGGGAGCGCTGCCATCAACATCCCTAAGGGTCCCTACGGTTTTGATAGGGCACTCGTCTGGCCTCTGTTCATTGCGGGCGCGTATTCCTTGCCTGGGTGTACTTTCCGGATTCTGTTGTCTCATCGAGCGACAGCGTTGGCAGATGAAGCCGACTATGGTAGTTTCGGGCGCATGTATCGCGTGCTAAAGGAGTGTTGGAAGGTTGGGGACTATCCCAGTACGACGACGGAAGTTTACGCCGAAGCCAACCACTTACTGCCCTCGAATAACGCGGAGCAGAATGCCAACGGGTCTGCTGTTCAGCTTCCTTCTATCGAGTCGATCGGCCGCCCCATCAAGAAGTCGCCCGTTCACTGGAGAGATGTGATGAAGCGCCGCGACTGGAAATACCTTTTGATGTAGCATGTTCAACACATGCATGTTGGTCACAAGGCACCGATGGCTTGTACGTTTACTCGTCTACTTCTTCTGAGTCCTCGTTGTCCGCTCAAAATTTCACTGGAATACTAACATGCGCTCAGGTGTCGCAACAGAGTCCCAGCGTTTAAGCGCGCATCTCCGGCGCAGAATTGACAGGCGTTCAGGAGCAGGCGGCCTCAGTCCCATGATTCCATGTAGCAGTGTTATATTTTCCCCTACAGTTTTTCCTCTACATCTAGTTTAGGCGGTTGTTTTATTTTCTTTCCCGTTAACTTCTTCCAATATGTCTCTTTTGGTTGGTGTTTGCTTCTGTCATGTTGTGTTGTGTTTATTCTGCCTGGGTTCCTGCTTGACCCCTCATCTCTTGTTCCTCTTCCCCTCTATCTTCCCCTCCCAATTCCCCCGGCACTATTCCATCCCGGGTAAAAGATCTTCATACAGGCACTATCACGCAGGGCGGCCCTACTTATCACCTCAATCAGCCAAAGTTGCTGGTTTGTTTTTGTTATTACTGGCCAGGTGCTGTGTTGTTGGCAGCGCGTGCCGCTGACAACTCTTCCTCTTTTCCTTTCTTATGCACATTCTTTCCTTCCAACTATGTCTATATGATGATATGTTATGCTTTGCTACTTGTTATGTTATCATGCTAGTTTACTTTAGCTTTCAATGTGATGGATTATGCATTCAACGTTGGTTTTGTTGCGATGGCAACTACCTCATGCATGTGTTGGGATCAAGTTTCGCAAAGGGAAAAGTGAGTAGACAAAAACGATGAGAAATTTTTCAGTTCTTAGCAATGGGATTATGTCCACCGTTAATTAGTTTTGTAGTAATTTGGTCATTAGAGTAACATACTCCTTTTAAGTAACATCAGTCTCCCATATTATAAATGCTACTAATTAGTCGTGGTAGTTAGTACGCATAATATATTATATATTTTTGACTTCTTAGCAAGTTCTAAACCGCTAACCAAACTGTTGTCACTACTATGAGCAACCACAACTAACACCCTGGCACTGCATGGAAAGTAAATGCACGATGACAGTAATGATTGAAGATATTCATGCATATCTTCACGTAACACATCGTTTCTTTACACTTCATCATAAGAGATTGGTTAATAATCTATCACCTCTCGTCGACAACGAACCTGGGGACTAGTAAAACAAATACAAATCTGATTCTCTCCTTTGCCACGTTCATTCTCCAAAGGTAGTAATATAATCAGTAATATAATCAATGATCTAGCTTTACATAAAGATCATCTGGTCTTATCACAGATGATATAGATAGGCATCTTCTGTCTATTAATCCTAGGATATTCACCTAATCTAGATCAAATAATCACTGCTACTTTTGCTAGCTTCCCGGGCATAGAAACCAATACTAACTTTTCACTGATGCCATTCTTGTGGGTGGTTTAACGATTCTCTCCGTAAGGTAGTATCAAGTCTGCCGTTTGCGCCCAGCAACTGGAATTTTCCTTAAGGGTTCTTATCACGCCTGATCGTATGATCATCGTCGATTTATACGATAAATCAAATTCTTCGGCACTAATGTTCCTTACTACATCTAGATCCCCGAGCAAGTACGGAACTGCGGTCAATAATATATAAACCTTGGGTAGCATTTTGACTTGGCTCAACTCCATTCAACGTTGCTCCAAAGTAGATTAGTAGATTTAATGGTGATGCAGTGGCTCCAGAAAAACGTGACCTGACTATCTATTAGCTTTTGTCAAATATACCGCAGATTTTCCAAGATTAATCTCATTAACCATTTTCGAAGATCCGCTAGATAGACAGCACTGCACTAAGCTTTTGAGTTAGATTGGTATATATTTCAAGTCTTTGACCTGGCTATCGCCCTGACTCTATTCGTATGGATAAGGTATTCTTTATGTGGCAGGAAAGCATCGTTTCATATCATCATGGTCTGCTTATTGGTATTGAATTCAAAAATTGATAGTTCTTCAGCGAGATCTAGTTCTTCTCAAAAGCCATAATGCTTAGTACATAGTGATTAGATCATTATGTAGAATGTCCTACATCTTTGATAAGATGATCCACTCATTCCTTGTGCCCCGGGTATCGAATTCCCTGTGTTGCTTTGAACAGCCAATTCATCATATCAACTTACATTTGCATTCATCTCATCTTGTCATTTTGGCTTCTTACTGTAGGATTGCTAATACGCTTAGAACTCTTTCATATATTCGAAGTGATAACACACTTCCCTTTCCATACTATGATAACCTACACCTCATCTACCACCAAATTAACAGGGAAAGTGTGTTTAACGTCTGAGACCACGATCCAGAATCCCTAAAAACGTTCGAGCGAAAGTGCCAAGGCCTGTCGCCTTCTTGGTAGTAGCGCGCAATATACCTCACAGTCGATCCTGCTCAGTTCCCATCTAACATTCCAAAACACGGGGTCTAACTCCGAGGGAATGCTTCGTATACTAAGCTTTATAGGAATTGGAAGGCTTCTTCCAGGCAGGTATTGTCTCGCAAGAATGTTTGATATCTGATATTATAGTCAGATCAGAGACTGTGTGTCGGCAAAGGCAGACAAGTATTCGAGGGTTCGAACAGAATCTGGGAGCTCGAAGAAATCAGTAGTCTGGCAGCACCGGCGTGCTCAAAAGAGGAGGCTTAAGTCACAGAACAAGTTCGATATCCCAAGAGCGATACTGAATGTTCCTTTTGGTGAATCAGTGTGCCTTGTTGGACATTATAGCCGAAGCTTATCTATGAAGGGGACGTATCAGCGGAGTATGAGCGATGGGAGAACTCTCCGAGGTTATAACGATATGTAAGAAAGCCCATGATGTTCTATCTTACCATCAGAGTAGTTCTCTTTCATACTTTAGCGGCACTTCATCAGCATGTAGTGAAGGGCTGAAGTACGTCTTTTGCGTATATGTCGAAAGCGTGTCTTATTAAAGCAATCACTGTATTAGATCCTAATTGATCCTTACCCAAGTCCTCCCTTCTCATATCTTCCCGAGAGAATCTCTTCGAGAATCTCAAGAATCGGAACAGCCACAAATCGGACTCGACATGTTCTTATGACATATAATAATCAGATGGAGTGGGGTTTAGTAGTGTACGAAGAAGCAGGTATCGAACATAGGAGCCTGCTGTAGCGTGGACAAGATAGCCTTTGTCCCTGCACTGGAATGTCTTTCCTTACCTGCTTTCTAATGATGTGCCTTAGCGTACAAACATTGGATACTTGGGTCATATTTCAAATAATAAACATCGATAATGTGCTGACCCTTTTCACTAAGTCCAATTTATTTATCTACTCTATGTGTACGTAGAAGCAATCGTGATGGCCACGGGCACTCACAGTGGCGAAAAAAGTCTGCGAGTAGAATGGGGCCATTCAGTCAATGTTCAAGTGATGAGGAGAGATGCTAATGTCTCGAGAATAAACATGAATGTAGCAGATGAAAAGGATCTCATTAGTAACATCCCATAGCTAGAATACCCTCCGCTTAGACGTATTTTGAGTTCCGCCAGCAGCTTAACATTATACTTACTTATTTATTCCATGGTGTAAGCCTTGGAGTCTGTACTGGTAGTTTAGAAAAGATGCCGCTACATTCAAAGTACTTTCTGGCTTTCATTGCATCGATCTGGGTGTTGAATTCATCCATATATGTTAACAAGAGATAGAGAGATGGCACTGCTTCAGTAGAGGTGGGCCTAGACTCGGCACACCTTGACAGAAGCCTCGACGCTCTAAGCCAAAACGCAACAAGATGCCATGAAAAGAATGAAATGATTCTATATAGTACGCGGCTTGCGGAAAAGGAATTGCTTATTCTTAGGATACAAATGTGATGCTTTCAGATAGTGGTGTAACTAGTCAGTCACTTGCCTACAAGTGCTCATCTGAGTGAGACCCTAGCTATCTTACGACTTTTCTCCCTCAACTTCGCTTGTTGGCAGGGGGCCTTAAGCCAGCAGACAACGTAATCTACAAAAAGCAGAAGGTATTCCTCTCAATCAGCCAAGTGATGGGCCTGGGACTAATCAAAATGTGGTTTTGTAAGGTTGCGCCCAGCCTGTTATTACACCTGAACAGTTGCTCGGATTGTGATATGGGCATAAAGGTAGGTTAGCACGAGGGACGGTTAGGTCATCATACTCCGGTAAGGGGTTTTCCATCAAACTGCACAGGCCTCGCAGTCCGTATCAGACCTGCAGCCGTTAGACACTCGCCTAATAAGCGCTGACTCCGTATGCTTTGTACACAAACTGCAACGCAATGTTGATACCCGAGACAATACCCTCGTGTAGGAACAACCATGAGAATCCGATGCACCGCTATTCAGGAGCGATGTCTCACTAAGAGCGTTATGGATAAGAGCATTGGGCTCTTGCATGTTAGTTGATTGTACTTCGGATAGGTCTATTCGAGGTAACGTTGCAAGCTGTGTTCAGCCATTTCTCGCATCTAGTGTGCCCTTGACCCTCGGATCGCCCGTATTGCGTTCCAACAATCAAACACTCTAGTGGTAGTCAGGGGCTATTTCACGTAGCTTCCAATAGCTCAGTTGATCCGTTACCGAGTTTGGTCGACAAGGGGTCCCGGAGCGCCGAAACCAGTTCACCGCATAGCCAACGGTAACTCCTCGTTGACTTCCTCGTATAGGGTATGTTCTCCTAACCAACGGGAGCTCAAACACTGAACATTTTGACATTGTCTTGACAGTCCATGCTTTTTTTAGACCGGCTGTATGCAGGGTGAAGATACCCAGAATAGAAACATCTGGCACAATAGCTTATCCCAGGGGTAGATAACTTTGTAAACCGACAACATCCAATAGATAGACGATTTTAGCGAGCTATCATCACGCCAAGCTAAGAAGTCGAACATACTGTGCGGCCTTTTCCTGAAGAATGTGGAACCAAATATGCACCCATTGGATGTGAGGGCCGCACACCGTTTAACTCGGCGTCTCTTCGTACAGGCCAGCATGTACCAACCCCGCGATGCAAGACAGATACTCGAGTCAGGCGGTTACCCTGAGGAAGCAGGGTCACCCATACTTGTCTCCCTGTTGAAACGGAGTGGCAGGGGGCGTCTCGCTCGTAGCCGCAAAGCATACAGAGTCGCACACTGAAGCTTGACGAACAGAAACTGCGGAAGAGCCGCGGACATGCCGCTGATGCAGACTGGTTTGAAACTCTGTCATTCAAGGATGATGGAGATGGGAAAGGATTCGCGGAGAGGGTTTGATGAACGCTGATTCAGATGGCGCGCGATTACGCTGAGGCATCGTAGAGTCTGCTGAAGACTTTTCTTGTCAACATCAAAACAACCCGGACGAGTAGCATATAAACCCAGGAGCACTTGTCACTCATGATGTTCTCTTTCAACACTCTCAACATTCTCTTTAGACTTCCTCGATTCACTGTCGGGTAGATCCCGCACGTTCATCCTACTTTGCCCGCTTTCTGTTGACAGAGAGATAATTTTCCCCTCCGTTTGCAATCATCGGCCTGCATTACGCGCCAACACCAAGTATAGAAACAAAAGCGAGTAGCATCTTGCACAAGGGCTCGAGCTCCATCGGATAGTCCGTCTGTTCTTTTTTTACACCACTTAGCAGGATCTAAGAGGTGGCCCAAGTACGTCAAGATCGTTGCTGCTGCTGTTGCTATTTTCGAGGCGGAGCAAGAATGCGCTAACCTCGTGGAGCCTAGACCCGATAGTCCATCGCAACCAAATCCTGTCGCGTATTGTTACTGTTCGATACGTTCGTAATAGTACCTTACCGGATCATACGAAGCCAACCGTACCTATCCTGCAGGGTTATACTTCTGCTCCTTCAACTTACTTGACATTCCTCTCATTCACAACCTGGGAATATCCACCGCTGGCTCGGAGACACTATATCATTTCCTCAAATTTCTTTTATTATTTTTAGCTTGCATTGGCGCGCCGTTGTCTCAGCTCGACACTATCTCTAATTATATCTTCCTCTCCTATCCTCCATCAAGTGGACTCCTTCCTCCTCGACCTATCTATATCTACCACGCACACATCCTCTCTTTCATACCTATCTTCACTCTCCTTCAAACAGCTCCTTCCTTAATTCACTGGCCTATCAATCATACATCTACTGCTGGACAGTACCATGGCTCCTCGACCAATCCTCTATCCACTCAAGACTTCGAAGAGTGTTATGTACCCATCGGAGCTTCGAGACACCTCATCTACCACTACTGAGACAAGCCAAAGAGAACCAGGCAATGGCCCATCAGTTCCTCCCCCACGTGCTTATACAGACTTTCTCCGAGCGTTGAGTCCTTGCTACGCAAGCCCAGAAGGGATCAACGCAAGTTATACGAGATGGATGAGGAGCAGAGCTCTACCATCGCCCATCTCGCTGCCATCGACCGCCACCACTGTCTCCTTCCCAACCAGCAATACATCGAAGAGCAGTCCTATTTCTGTCTCCCCATCCCCGGTACCTGCACCACAGTCCGCAAGGGAGCCTGGTTCTGTGCGGCGTCTCCGCATCTCGCCGCCATTCTTGCTGTCCCCGACAACGGCAGAGTCTCCCCGAAGTCCTTATACAATTCGGACCCCTTACACGCCAGCAGAACGGAGAAGCAGGCATTCCGAGACCCCAGATACAGCCAATGGAAGGACTGTTACCATCCAACATGTTGTCACGCACACGATTACTCTCAAACGTGCTCCTTCGCTTGACCCGCCACCGAAGGGCAAACGCAGAAGGACCAGCGAGTCACGGGATCAGTGATGGCTTAATAAAGCATTCATTAGATACGAACTGAACGACTTTAATGGGTTCGATCTTGAGGAGTTCAGACCGTTACGAGCATCTACTTTCATCGAGTTTGTTATGTTACTTTTGTGATACTAGCATTTTACGGCTGCCTGTGTGATTTCCTGTGATTTCCTGTCACTTCAATTGCCTTTTGTTCAGTCATTGCATTTTACGTTAACTTGTTCTCAACCAACTAGAAGGATTGGCATACACATCCTGGCGGTGTGGATTGCGGGTGATATGGATTCGAGAGGAAGGAGTCGGAGTATTCAATGGTTCAAATCGATCTTATTGGAAAAGCCTCGTTGGTTTGCGGGTGCGCTTATGGATCTCTTTGTCAGATATGCTTGGGTCAGCGGCGTTATACTATGTCTTGTAGCACGCATTTACTCAATTACCCAATGGAATGGATTACATCGCTAAACTCTGTTGTCAATGACTCCCACCACCAATCAAGCTCTACTTAGCTTGTTGGTCTGAGTCGAGTCCACATTAGACTCAGACAAGCTAAACCAAAAGTTACGAAGGAAGTGGCAGATAATAGCTGTTAATTTCGCTTTGACGCCGTAAAGGATCGCATGGCTCACCAACCAGCATCGTCCGACTCGCGCGTCAGCCACATGGCACGCGTGCCATTCGTTCTGCTTATGGACTCTTCCGATCCTCTTCAATCCTTAGCTGGATGTAGATAAGCTCTGTCCGCAGGTTGACGCCGAAGGATCACTTAGTGTGGGTTTCTGGCTTCCTCTGAGCCTCACAGCCACCTTCATACCGCGGATAATCAGCCAACCGATACAGGGGGCTGTTGGGTGCATCATGGTAGCATAAATGCCCAGGGCCTTCAATTGGGTATTTTGACGGGCCTGTGTGTCAGTATACGTATTAGAAGGATCAGAGATGAGGTTTCCGGCCAGCTGTTCTTCGTATTTGGGACACCAAAGGATTTGCCGGATAATGTAATGATACGCTGTTGTATAGTGTGTTGATTACAGCGGGATACTGATATACCCGTATTACATAGTATTACGCACTTCCCGGCAACCTCACCATAGGACAATATCGGAATCAACTAACACCAGGTTGTTCACAATGGAACCTGCTTGGGTCTATCGTCTTACTTACAAATTGGAATCTAATCAACCCAATGACTTACTCAAGGAATATTCTATGTGTATTTGGTCAATGGCTTATGGGATAAATCTTTTACGATACCGCTCGTTATTCGGGCTAAGATGCGAAGATCGACGCATATAGCACCATTGAAAAAGAACCCTGAAGTTCGCTGAAATAAAAAGCTGTTTCAACTAATTCATATTATTGTTATTTACGCTCAAAGTGGTATCATGCGCTCTATAGGAAGCATAACGGCTCTCAATAGGGTACGGGAGTAGTCGTGTGGCGTATGCCGAGGGCCATATGAGATCTAAAGCCTAGGTAGGGTGTGCAGGGATGCAGATTGATTAATGATGTAATGAGACTCTTCAACAATGACCCGTGGGTCTGGAGTTCATCACTTAACAGTCCTGATTTGCTGAAGCTTTGGTCTAATCTCAACTGCTTTCTTTTTTCGATCCACTTTTGGGATAGTTTAGCTCGAGTGTACTGAGCCGAATGCCCTAAAGTGCCGACGGAGCTCCCAGCATGGTGATAGTAATCCTATCACCAAAATTAACTTCGAGTCGTTGGTGTGTCCCAGAGGTTCTAGTATAGACAAATCAACCACACTAAGTTGTGTTAAAATAGAAACAGAATCCACATTGCTTGACTTTGAACCAATTGCGCCTATCAGGTTCTTTCCTTGAAAGTCGCTCCTCAGTTCAGATTCCTTGCCTCGCCGACGAGGCACGATGGGCACCAGCAACCAGGAAGTTCCGGCCAATAAGCGACTCAAGTGTCTATATTTGCTTGTGAGCAACTGCCACCAATAGCATGCCGCAGCACTAATTTCATGTACTGTTCCAATTTGGCGCAGAACTCCGAACCCGTGCCCTTCCAGAACTCGGGGTGATTGGCTCGACTCCTCCTAACACTGCGGGGTGATCACGCAGGCGGGACAGGGATCATGCATTCCCCGACACACCGTTAAGCGCTGGTTGGCCCCTGCCTATCGACTATTGGGACTTAGCTTCCAGCAACAAGATCACCCGCGGGTAAGAGGTGCTATTTTTGGGTATTATCTGCCTTTCACCCGTGTGATGAAGGGATTCTCACAATTTGCCAATAGCCTTGGATGCTCTCCACCCACTGACATCCCACCACTTTCCCATGTGTGCTTTCATCTCTTGTCATCCACCAACCATGTCCTGTGGTCTCATTGTGATATGTTATTTTTGGAAATTAAGCGCCGGCCCGGCCCACATTTATTTTCCCCTCCATGCAAGACACTCTCTCAGTCACAGGGTCATGTTTGGAGTATAGAGCATCTGCCCGTGCTCATCACTTGCTGATCCAGATACCCTCACACCACTAAGCCTTATTAGCCGCCGGGACCACCGTGTGGTCCCTGAGGATTCCATAATTAGAACACCCCATAATAGCTCTCAGACGACATCACCTCCTCTTTGCTTCAATCTCATCACCACCAACCACAGTAGCTAGAACGATGCAAGCTACCCGCGCAATACCGGCTCACTATCCCCTCTATCTGTCACTGTCATTTCATCCGCCAACCATGACAGATAGAACTGTTAACCCCACCTCAAAGGAGGGGGTATGGTTCAACCGGTCTGTCTACGACCCCAGCACTATGTGCTTAACCGCGATTCTTTAGTGCTCGCCTAGTGTTTCAAGCTACAGGGCTAAGATAGTGACTGCTTATTTTAGAAACTCCCTGGCGCGTAGATTCCCATTCTCTGGGTGTTATTAGTCGAAAGCGATCTGATTGCTGGTCCTTGCTGGTCCCCACATGGAGACACCCCTGCAGCACTGGAGATGCCTGCCTGGTGTGATTATATTTTTGGAATCAATCCAATCTCAACGTCACCTGTTACTGATTGTTCCTCTGGTCCAATTTGCCACCATTTTCGTAGCAATTAGGGTGAAAAATGTGGACGAGAAGGAAGCTACAAGCCTACTCTCTATACACAGTAAAGGAAGGGCCCCAAGAAGGGGAATTGGCCCAGTTAATCAGTGAAGTAAGGGAAGTGTCTACGATGCGTAGAAATTGATGATCAAACGCTTACGCGGAGCTAGAATTGGCGTTGATAGACTAAGGACTTACGGCGGGCACTTCCACAATCCCCCAAACCAACCGTCATTGGCGCAACGCTAAACCAAATCCCCCAGGTAGCCCGAGAGTTCGCACTACTTAACCAACCCCGATATGCAGCCTACAAACGTGGATATTCCACCCCAATTATCATCCAGTAAAAACACAGAAATGAGAAGCGTATGCTATTCTTATCACATTTCGCATCTCCTTCCAAAGCAAGTCGCCTATCTAAATATGCGAACTTCTACACTACATCCTTCTATTGGATCGTTTTCCATTAGTCGCACCACCACTCCCGGCCTTTCAAGTGGTCCCCTTCTGGTGCCCGATAATTCATATCCTCCCGACCCCTCGATCTATTCCCAACTTGTATCCTTTCATCGAAAATCAGAGCTTTTCTACATACCTACTTGCTCCGTCCACCCAACCCGGACAGACGCCTCAGCCCCCATCCCGTTTGACAATGCTTGCTTCCGTGATAAGAATAGAAGTGACAAGAAGGCCGATCCACATCTCTGCCGCCTAGTCACACATTCCGCGCATGCAGCTTTTCCAAGAACCTATCCTTACCCCCCTTCTCCGTCACATCTATCTAAGATCTATATTGATATACTGCCCTGAAGATCTGTATCGTACGTATGATACTGTACCTTACACATGATACCTTTCATATATGTTCTACCAATCTTACATACTATCCCACTAACTATCCTACACTCTATCCAATGCATCCACACCATCACCTCATCCTATCCCCATTACTTCACTGGTATGTCATTAAACCTCCACTTTTCTAAATAAAGATCTAACCTCATGTTCCTAGATCAGCCCTGGAGACCCCACTTGCTTCTTAGCGCTTCACTTGCGATACTTCTGGTTGCATGTCGTCCTTCTAACTACAATGTTTCTATACATAGTTCCTCACCTTATCGTCTCCTCTCAACCATCAACAATAGTCCATCACGTCTTTGAAGTATACCCACCCCCTCCTCAAACACGGCTCACGGAAAGATGTGTGAATTAGGCGCCGTCTCTCACCTAGGTCCCTTAGCCAAGCTACAACCATACCCTCCCGGCTACACTATCGATTGATGAGGAAGCCATCGGCGGCAAACCTATGTATAGCACATAGGATGATGTCTGAGATAGGCGGGATTGAAGTAGGGTGATGATTAGTAACTGGTCCAGAATTGTGTCACTCTTCGCGCCTATCCTCGACTGTGTTACGTAGGTGGATAATCTCCACAATGCTGTCGAGGACTTGGGCGCGTATGACTGACATACCTCAAAACTAATATCATTGTCTATGTGATCTTAGCTTGACTATGAGCACCACGGGCGAGTACAGGCCGTACCTGAGAGGCTTACTGAGGTAGGCGCCCTCTCGTCTACGAGCTTCAGACTCACACCTCTTTCTCTTCCTGCCGTGTGCAAACCAGGCCAGTAAGTGGTGGTGGACTCCAAATCATGGTTCTGGGACGTCGGTGACCCGCCAACCCGAAGGCGGGTGTCTACGCTTCTCCAAGAAACTACTCTCTTAGCGGAACATGTTGCATAGGTTCAAGTCCTTATCCATGATGATCAAGAGAAGCATACTGACTGATGGTGACCGTTAGAGTGTCCCAGGTTATCCGGTCCGATACAGAGGATGATAACTTTCAGTCCAACAACTATCCCATCCCGCTTTAGCGATCATCTTCATGTATCATTCGAGAGGCTTCGAGGCGTCGAGAATTCACAGCTCGCTGTTGATATACATCGACTGAAGCTTGGGAAATGTCCATAGGGAACCTGGAGCTCCTCATGCGGAAGGAATCAAGGAGATGGGCAGACAGAAGACCATATCATGCACCACGAAGGAAGTGAACTGCGCAATAAGAAGAAAATGCGGGATATCAAGGCTGTTGGACGTTTTGGCGTAGCAACAAACCGAGACCCGACTCCTATGTAGCTAAGCCAATCCTACTTTCGCTACTTCACTTTAATTATCATATCAATTCGATAAAACCCTCTACTCCACAAGGTGTCTCGCATAGTTTTCACACTCAATAGAACTTAAGCAGCGTTCTTAAATGCATCCACATGTTACTTCATTATGAATACGACATATGAGAATATCCTCCACTTTTCCCTTGCCTGTTCATTGCAAGATGTTCCTTACACCTATCTTCCATCTCCAAACTCCTATCTCCGTCTACAATCGTATTTCCATGTGAATTCTGATCACCCCTACCACAAATTCATTTTTTTTCCCACCACTCACATTCCCATCTCCCCCAAACCATCTTGCAATAAACCCCTATCCTTCCCAGGGGACACCAAAACAAGCACCCCCAAATCCTGATGGACAGAAACATACTACCAATCATATTCCCTCCACGAGACTGTCCTATAAAACTCCTCTGTCTACTGTTCTACTATAAGGCCACATAAACCCAGATAATCAACCCATAAACCATCTCATCTCATGAACCAATCGAATTACTATAAGAAACGCACATCCAGCGGCGCATCCATCCTCCGCCACAATGAACACCATAACACACTCACAAGCACTCACATTACTATCCAGCAAGACATTCATGTAAACAATCCAGCATCTACCTCTCGAACCACAGATAGATACGACCTCCCTTACATATATATTATTCCGGCCCGGCAGCCAATATTATAATGATCAAAGTCCAGAGTACCTAGCTTTCTTGTTCTCTTTCCTTGTTGATAGTCCGCACCCGCGCTTACCATATTCAATGGATATCCAATTCCTGCTTGGCTTTAAGACACAAGCTTAATGGAATATATTCTTCCTCAGAGTCCATTCTAGGTATGTTTAAGACGAAGAAATCAATAGATGAATGAAGGTTGTGCATCTCTCGAGCGCCTTACTGGCCTCCGTGAAGTTGAGTGGTATGACTTGTGTAAGCAATTTCGGAGTGGAGAATGTGGTAGCTAGACCTGGATGAGGATGAAGGCGATGCGATGTGCATATGCCCATTACGTATACTATGCTTGGAATGTGAACTTTCTCTGGCGGTTCATGTCTCATCTGTTGGTTGGAATGCGGAAGCAGCTGCGGTTTCTGTGGATGTCGGTGGATAAAAAGCGAGTATGTGTCAGAGATAGTGGTTGATGGCAGTAGTGAGCGGTGATCCGCAGTCATAGGTTAAGGCCAATGCATTTTTATCTTTGTTTTGCATCGTTCTTTGCCATATACACGTGTTCTCGGACCTTTTCAGTGAAATGAGTTTCGAGTATGCCGACCCATCAAGAACATTATTTGATACACCAGGGAGGCAGTATATCTGATATCACAATGTTTTTAATACAAGGTATGGTCGACCATAAGTAGCAGAATCATAGTGTATACAGGAGAATATTGATATTGCCAAAACTAGTACAGGAAAATCATAATTGCCACCCATACCCTAAAAACCGTAAATCGTTCGAATCCAAACCATGTACCCATCACCCAATTAGTTGTAATAACGGAACCTGGTATATACAAAAGGTTCCAAAATGAAGACAAAAACAGTCAAAAATCAAACCGTGGTATCATATCGCACAGTCGTGGTGAACAAAGTGGTATCATAATCGAGATGAAAAAGCGATGAGATGGAAAGGTATCAAACGAGAACGGAGATTGCATCCGATACAAAGAAAAATTAGCTTTGAGAGTCGTCACGTCTATTCTTCGGTCAACGCGTCGTCTCCAGTCTCGCGCCATTCCTTGGACCGTTCTGTAAGCCGTCGCACACCTGCCACACGCTGGGCCCAGTGCGCTTCAGAAGGGGACCGGAAAGTATAGGCTCGTTGCGACGAAATCACGCCGATTCCTTGCAACACAGCCTTGCGAGAGTCTCTGGAGAACACCGCCGGATGGTTGATCCATTCCAGCGCGGATTGCAGATCGGAGTCCAACGCCGTCATAGTCTGCCCATCCACTGCAGAGACGGAAGTGATGGTCGCCGTATCCGAAGCCGCCGACGAGTGACCGTCAAACATAGACGACTTGGGTGAAGAAGAGGTAGGAGTGTCTGCTCGGCTACCGGAGTCGCTGGTTCCCGCTGGTCTGGCACCCGGGGGCAGAGGAGGAAGACCACCCTTGCCCAGGCCCTTCAAGATACTGCGAGTCTCGGTCAACAAGTGTTGCGCACGATCATGTTGCCCACGGGAAACCAAGGTCAAGGCCCGCGTCAGCATGTCGGACGTCAGAAGCTCCATGCGTCGTTGTACGATGGACGGATGGGGAGGGATTGGTGGGCTAGACGGACGACCAGGTTTGGCTTTCGGGTTAGGTGGAAGCATAGTGATCGCTAAAAGCGACGGCCGTGGGGAATGGGTAAGATGACCATCCCGCAGAAAATCACCATAGGTGAGGTCTGCTTGGATCAGAGGGACCTCCTCCACACTCGCCACGCGTTGGTCATCGCCATCAGACATACCACCTAGTGCCTCCAGTCCAGACACCAGGCTCTCCCAGGCATCCTGAGGGGTAACCTCTGACGTGGAGTTGTCGGGGGGGATGACAAGTTGGACCAGAACGTCACGCTTGTCGCCAAAACGAAGGTCCCCGAGGGCAGCCTCCGCATCACGACCAGTAGCCCGTTTTGTCGTGTGCAGAGCTCCACTAATTTTCACGAACTTGGCAGGGGAACCCTCAGGCAGACGAAGCTTGAGCTTTACGTTCTGGTGAGAGGTAGTTTGCAGCGCACCCAAGCAACCAGCGACGCACTCCCGAAGCATCATCCAGTCCTTTACATAGACGTATGAGCCTTTGGTCCGAGTCGAGAGCTCGATGATGGTGTCCGGCTTGTGGGTCAATCCAAGGCCGAATGAGTGGATGTTAACCCTTCAGACGATTAGTATATCGATCGTAGCATTGAAATGTGTTCGACTTACTTGGCAGCTTCCGCCCTGGACACAACAAAATCGACACTATCGGGATCTGAGGTTGAAGTGTCGCTGATCAAAAGGATGGTAGAGATAGGGTTCGATGATTTCCGCTGCATGAGCATGTCCATGGCTACGTTAGCACCCTCGACGACATCTGCACGGAGACTTTTTTGTCCAACGGGCCTAATGGACTCCAGGATTTTGGGCCATCCGCCCCAGGACTTCGTAGTCATCCCCACTATGGGGACGCCACCACTGCTAGAACCAAATGTCACCAGTCCCATACGATCGCGAGGACCAAGGTTCTGTACAAGAAATCGGAGTGCATCGCGGAGCAGGGTGATCTTCAGTCCCTGCATGGAAGAAGAAACTGGAATCACGACTACAAGGTCGAGTGGAATATGGATGGATGGTGCTGGGCTCTCTGTGCCCATATTCGTGTAGTCGGTAATAGCCGTGTTGATTGATCGGGCTGCTCCATAAGACGAATTTATCGAGGCCTGGCGTTTGATTGGATTGTTGCGGTATTCCTCCTCCTCTGCGCCAGAATTATCATAGTCGTAATCATTGTTCGGAGATGTGCTCTCAATGGGATGGAGGTCGAGGAGGGAACGGCGCCAGAGCTCTAACTGACTGCGGTTCTGGAATCGAAGGTAAAAGCAGGGAAGCTCACTGACGGACAGGTTCAACGCGAGGATAGGCTCGTCTGCGGCAGCTTCCATACTGTTGAGATGCTTCTTGATGAGTATGGAGCCCTTCAATGTGCACCGGGTTGGCTTCGGCTTAGACTGATCATCGTCATATGGACGGCGCTGGGTATTCTTCTTCTCCTTGACACAGATGAGCATTTCTCCGAAGAGATAACATTCCAATTCCTGCCAGGATGTACGATCTTTCCCCACACTCATGTGGCCGTGCAAGCGGAGCTTTCCAAATCTGAGTTTCCGTCAGCGTTGCAATTTTGTAACGGCTACATGGAGACACTTACCGATTGAATTCCAGGCCGTGCCAGTTGTCCACCTTATTCCGCAAGTCCTCTGCCAAATCATCCAGGTTCTCCTGACTCTCATAGGGAATCGGCTTGGGCTCCTGGCTGGGTGGGTAACGCCCTACGCCATACGGTTCGTCCTGAGGTTGGTCTTTACCGTTTGAAGTAAAGTCGCTTTCGTCAGGCTGCCAGCTGCCCTCAGGCACTTCCAGTGTTATCAGGCATGTTAAAGACTGCTGCTGGCGTGAGCGGTTAAGCGTTGGGAACTCGCTGCGGATAGTCACTGTTGGCGCCGGGATCGGGTTCTTCGTGACAACGGGACGCGGGCTGAGATCAGACTCCATTGCTTGCACGTCATAATCATGGCGTCTTCCGTTGGCCGCATGCTGATGCGACTCGTTATAATCGGATGAACCAGCAACACTTCCATTCCGCGAGTGGTGTTGGCGGGATCCCATGGTCAACCGTTCGACTCGCTCGCGGTGACTGCTATTGTCGCGGCTGTCGCGTCGGACGTAGGTATCCCGACTGTCACGGTTAGGTTGCCGGCTTCCCGCATGACTTCCTGCATCGCTGGGCCGTCGTGCCTGGACTGGCACGGGTTCCCAGGGAGGGAGATTGGACATGCCACTTCGATGTGTCGCGGCATCGCTGGTGACAGAGCGGACAATATTACTAAGTTTCTCTGTATATGGAAATGATCAGCAAGTTTACATTCCGATCCCTGCAAGGGCAATAACACATACCCAGATCCAACATATTCCCCCCACGGCTAGTATCAAGCCCTAACGGCGCATCGCATGTTGGGCAGTACTGTCCTTCAAATTCGCGGATATATTCGTAGAAGCAGGCTTCATGTGAGACATGAGTGCACGAGAATTGGAGAACACGTTCGCCACGCAGAGTATGCTCCAACGGCTCGTCACAAATGGCGCACTCAGTGCCGACGAACGTCCTATCTCTCCGCGTCCGAGAGCGGTCAACATCCATTAAGCCCGCCATTGGCCTACCTGATCTAGAGTTGAATGACACACGCGACGAGTTTGGGTGAGAGTCAGACGGCCCGTTTGGATCTTGCTGGTTTGAATAGACAGAGTTGGCAGTGGTAGAGGGAGCACGAGATTGGGCAGTGTGGGCAGAGTAACCGGTCCCTGGACGCTCTAGTGGTATGTAGATAAAAGTCCGCGGTGGAGGTGGCGGAGATCGGGATTTTGAACTGAAGAAGTCTGTCGATGAAATGATTCCGTAAAGGTCAGTGGTAGTGAAGAGGAAGCCAGAACAGAAGTAGAGGCCAAGACGGACGACAGCAAAGACAAAGCAATGCAGTCGTCTCACATAACACCAGCGTGGAAGGTTGGAGAAATGAGTCAACGTTCTAATTCACGTGCTGACCCCAAGGAGGGTATAGCAATGAATAATCTGTAATGGACAAGGGACAAAAAAAGGTCCTGAGAGCTCAAGAAGGAAAAGAACGGGGGGGCAGCTCCAGCAAAAGAGAGGAGAGACAGTAGAAGAAAGAGAGATAAGGAGGGAAAAGGAGAGTGGATGGCAGACAGCAGCCAGAAGAAACAGAAAGAAAAGGGCAAAAAAGTGTAAATGATAACCAGAATAAGAAGGACAATAATAATAATATAAGATTCAGCAGCCGAAAGTTAAGAAGAATCAAGAGTAACACTAGTACGAGACACTATACTTACGGAGCGGAGACTTCTTTTTAGGACGAGCACTGCTGCCACGCTCGGATGTGTGAGGGCCAGAAGAATCGTCATTCCCAGACGTGAAATCCGATCTGGGAGAGGGCCGATGTTTCCACATGGATCACGGCAAAAGAAGCTCCTGACGGATCAGGAGGAGAACAGGATCAGGAAGGAGGAGGTTTTGGGAACTTTTGAAGAAAACAAGCAGAGAGATTTACTATTTAGGGGTGCCAAGTGGGGGGGGGTCAAGACGTAGTGGGGGTTGAACCTGAGGGAAACGCCCCGAGGATGGATGAGATTGACCAAGAGTGGAGGAAGATGAGTGGCTGCAGTGAGAATCACCAACAAAAAGGTTGGTTGGCCACGCGTGAGACTGGGAAGGAGGGAGGAGCGAAGGGGAGGGAGGGTGTGTGTGAAGATGACGAGATTCTGGGAGAGGAGAGGGAAAGGAGAAGGCGGAACAGGAAAAGATGGAGATATCGCACTGGTGCGAACAATTTTACGACGGCGTCCGAGCCGGTTCAGCGAAGCCGTTGATAGTCGCTGGGGCGGAGCGATCAGTATTACGAGAAATGGTAATACTACCTTTACCTTTTTTTGTGTACTAATTATTTTGTAGTATTTAGTATCCGTTGTTACCTACTGAGTAACCATGGTTATTTCCACTACCACTTAGCAAGTACCATTCTGAAAGACTACTTGCACGACAGACACAACACACACCAGATATAATTATTTTCATCCTGGTTTATATCGAGTGCTACATACTCCATGACCTGTACTCTCCTTTCAAATGGGGTAATTCTTTCGGAACGGTATTGACAGGAAAAGCCATCGGCGTATTTTGTGAATTGGAGATTACTGGTCTATAGTGGGGCCATGACCGCCGAGCCATGGATGTCTGGAGCTCACTAAACCACGCAGTGGGGCCGATCCAGGGACTGGATACAGTCAAGTCTCAAAAGGACGGACTCTCGGTACGGGTAAACCTACGGTATCTGAGTAACTACCCCTGAAATGCTGGAAATACTTAACCCCCTCGGACTAACGTTTCAGAGAATGCGAGCAAATATGGTGTAGAAATCACCCGGTTTGGAAGGCGTGAGGTCATCGTGCAGCCACGATGTAGTCAGATATGAGCTGAGAATTCTCCAGGTTAAAGTTACATCAACTATCCAACAGATATCTTAACTATTCACTCCAGTCTGAATCCCCCGGAGACCCGTCATTTTCCCATCCCTTGCATCCTCAGGTAAAATGGTCCGTCCAGTCAAATGCTTCAGTGCTAATGCCCTACACGGAACTTGGACCTATCTTTTGCATCAATCTGCTGCCAATTATCGGAGATTTCTTTCACCATCCCTATCAGCCTAGCCACACTGAGGCTTTGGATTCTGCAGGCTCCAATGCCCACTGTCGATTATTGAAGGCTGCCTGCCAGCTATGTATAATGAACGGTGTCTGAGTGGATTACGCCCCTCATTGAGTGACCATCAGCAGCGAAAATAATACATCGGGGTCGTGTCTATTGACACTCATATATAGCGATCCTCGTTGGACCCGGTAATGATATCCCGATAGGCTGGTGCTTTTGCACAATTCAGCAACGATTGGCCTTAATCTCGGCACTGGACCGTCGATCCTCGAACGTTTGCTGTCATGACGAGGAAGCAAATCGAGTCCCATCCAAGCGCTGTAAGCTAAGGAGCAAGCGGAAAGTCCGGTTGGCATGCTTCTCTTGAGCTTCTAGGTCGTCGGTGTTGTTATTCCCCTTTATCCAGTAGAAAAGTGAGTCTCAACCGGATACGTAAGCGGCAAGCGGTACAGCTGCATATCAACGGGATCCCCACCGTGGAAGATTTCCACCCGAAAGGTTAGTTTGTCTGGGCGGGTCGCTCCCTTCCCCTTCCAGCGTTCCCTGGGACGGCACTATACTCACTTGGGGGTTAGTCCACTTGGTCACAATCGCTATTGAGAGCATTGAGTCGCCCTGGGCTTATTAGGAACCTGGTCCATTTTCGCTCCGGAGAAACGGAGGTAACGGAGAGCGCACCACACGGACAATGAAGCAGCACGTCCTCTGATATTTTTCCATCCACTTATGCGCCAGTGGCCACCAAGCGGGGATTCTTCTGAATGACGATCATCAATATGACCGACTATCGTGCTGGCTGCCTGAGGGAAGGTGCGCGCTGAAGTCCAAAAATATGTGCTGTGGAGGAACCGTGGTGCTGGTGGCGGTTCTCCCCACTTGCGCCCGATCGGAACTCGCAGGTTCGGTACGGAGTATGGTAACCAAACACCCAGAGTTACATCGTCTCGTCCCTTCCCGTATCATCAAATTGGATAATACCATGTTGCCAAAACTCTATATTACACAACACCGGGCAGTCGCAATATACCTAGTCCGTACTAGGTAGAGAAAGAGGTTGCCCGCTAGTGCAGACTGTGTTGCCACTGCCTTGCACAGCTATAGAATGCTTTTTGCTGTACCCCCAACCCTCTGTACACTTGAAATCGATGAGACTATGGAACCGGACCCAAGGATTCAGCCCCCAGTCAGCAAGATCCAAGGTAATCACAACGGAAAAAGCAACACGCTGACTCTTACCCTCTGCAACTCTATTTCATGACGACGGATGATCAGCCTAGGGTTCGCGCCGTAATAGAGGATTCTCTGGTCCAGGCTAAGGAGCATAAGGCTTTTCTGGGGATTACCCGGCACAACCTCAGTCACCAACTGGGGGTTTAGACATGGGCGATCTGGCTTCTTGACGGGTATCTTTCTCTTCTGAACACGGCTGCCATTTCCGAAGTTGCCTCCAAGGTCAAAGTCGACACGTTTGTTGATGTGGCAATATTATCCTACTAGTCCCTACCGACCAAATAGTCAAAATGACACACACACTAGATACTTAGAGACGGGCTTTCCACCACGGAGGCAACCTCGGTATGTTGGCTTAGTACGCCATACTAAGCGCATCGTGCACCATCATCATTTCTAAAGCTCTTTGCCTCAAAACTGAGTCAACTGCCAGTCTTTCATCCGATTGGCTGTTTAATCAACTCCATACCATGGTCGGTCCCTCGACACTTAGATACATCGCCCATTTTCTTCGCCTTTTCCATTATTCTTCTCAACCGTGGAACCGCGAACCGTGGCAAGAAGGCAAGCAAAGCTGAGCCAACCAAATTGCGATCACGTTCCACAACAATCAATCTTGGGCGCTGTCAGATTCAGATGACGGCACAGTTCGCATGCGCACAGTGGAATAATATTTACTTACATGGTACCTACAGATCGGAGGTCGATCCGGCCACAATTAGCAGTTGAATATGACTACCCGCATCTGTGTTACCTCAGCAATAAATATAATGATGCAAGATCACATAACTACCCAACAAGACCCCAACATTACTCACTAGTTTTCAGGAACTATCGCAATGATATGCAGAAGGGTGCATTGGCCCCATAATCATGCACGGGTCTTGGGTCGGTGATGAGAGACGCCCTCACCTGCCAGTGCCCAAAACCCCTAGATTATTATCCTGACCCTGCCCCATCATGGCGCTGGACAGGTCAAATATCCGCCTTATGACTTCAACGGCCAGGGTCAAATCTTGGTTAATGGACCAGTCGGACAAAGAACTGCTTTGGTACATGTTGTATTGGGTTAATCTAGACTGACGTTTTCTGCAAATTGATAGTTAATACGGAGTATTATCCGCTACTCTATCCGGCGTAGTTCGGGTCATGACTACGGGCGCAACCATGCTGGAAAGAGTAATCCCGACACATTGCAATATCTGAAATAAAATACCACTCGCACCAAGACTTGACGGTGTCTATTAGCTTCTTCTCGTTCTCGTTCCTTTCGGCCCCTAAGTAATTGACAATAGGAGCTAGGCTACTAGCTCACTGTATGAAGAATACAGAAATGCCGGGGGCGAGCAGTAATAGTATTCTTGTTATCCAATATATCCCCTGAAACAATCGTGAAACCACCCCTCCAACATCCAACTTTGGGGCAGAAATTAGCAACTACTGACTAGACTAGGTTCACCATGCCATCCAAGCCTCCTTCCCCTTATGGTCAGGTTGGCCAAATGACACTCGATGTTTCAAACACACACAAAGTCCCGATTCACTCCCATCGATGCAGGCACCTGCGGGATTTGCTTTTAGGTGTGGTCTGATCACCTCCGTCCTCATTGTCAGGCAACACGAAATTAACTAGACGCACAGATGGACACAGTAGAATCTACTGTAGAGCAGTGCATCCATTCCTTGGAATTGATGCGACTTGTCATGGCCGATGTGCCCTAAGTTTATGATATGTAAAGCTCCCCCCTCCGCCCAGCAGCGCCACTTACAAGGCAATTTTCCCATTTTTCTTTTTTTTCTCTTGTCCTCAATTTCTGCATACGTCCAATGACCTGCATCCCTTCAATCAATTAAACCTGCATACAGTAGCCACTCCCTGCACGGACGCTTCATTTTTCAGCTCCTGCTGCTGCTCCTGCTTCGCATTTCCCGGAATGCTCCCGAGTCCCGACACCTACTCACTTACTGACTCGTCTTACCCCGACTTCGGCTCCCGACATAGGTAGTATCCAATGCAGCATTGACACTCCCGCACAGTCCATCTTTTGACGCAAGGTACTTTGCTTTCCCCTCCAGATTCCACCCCCCATACTGTAACTATAACTATAACTTGTCACTAAGAAACTAAGCAAGTAGATTCCCCGACGATCTTCCGTAGATAAGTCGATTCCTCCGGCGTTTGATAACCCAGGATCGGGATTGTCGCTGGCCTACCATGGTTCGAGCACAAGATTAGGTAGGTAGACTACTACTACTATAACCTTGCCATGCATTTCGGAGTACCCCGTAGGGACCCGACCTACTACCTACTTACATATGAACATGTCTGAAAGTGCCAATTCCAAGCATTGATTGGCGGATTCATCAAACCCTAATATTGATTCTAGATTTCTTGAAACCAATCAAAATACCTTCATTGCCCATAATCCCTGTCTTTGTCAGCGGGATTGGTATAAACCCATCCATCCCCACTGTGCGGGCTGTCGTAAAAAAAGGGACACGGGAGAGAGAAAGAAAACATGTAACACAGATAGGCCGAAAGTACGCACGTCATTGCTAAAGGAGGAAGTCTGGTTTTTTCGAGACTCGAGTTGTCGGACTAAGTTGTTAGACTCGAAGTTTACTTTGATAGATGTTGGGGTTGGGTGGTTAGTACCCATAGTATTCGGGCCCGCTTTCCGTTTAGGTGAGCGGTGCTGTGGTGGACTGAGGGAGGAGATTTCGCGGAGTAAGTACTAAGGTATAGTCGCAGAGATGACTTGAATGGGTTAGGTGGTTGCTGTCAGGTGTCGATCATGAGCGGTTTATCTGGGTAGTTATCGTATGTTCTTTAGGGATGTTCGGTCAGCACTTTACTTTGGTTTTGGTTCGTGGGATTGTTTACTCTTTGTAGATTTCGGTGTCGATTTATGGGATGGTGTCTTGTGTATTACGCTGTCTAGCTATGATGTTATTTGTTTTTTGCACATGGATTCTTTCTTCTTTTTGGACTGGAGAGTTTGTAGCTGTACACGGTGTGGAAGCTGAAAATGGCACATGCACTATCGTAGTTCTGGACACGTAGGCTAGACCATTAGATATCCGGGAAAGTATCCCAAAGATCAGTAACAGAAGTACTATTTTCTTAGGTACTAGTTCTACTTTGAAATGCATCAACTTGAAACCCTCAAGAGGACAATACCATTATGGTGCTACTATAGCCTCGGAGTGGCCGGTACTGTCAGAAATCTAAGCCATCTAGATGTCCGTGAACAGACACCGTAGTTACTTACTAAGATCTGTGATTATTGATTTGACTTACTGAGTAGAATTTCGCCACTTATAAATCATACAAAATTGCAGTAGGACGTCAGATGTCACAATGGATCGATATTCCGCGGCAACTAGTCCATTCATGACGACGGACAGTATGAATTTCTGTAATGACCTTCATATCTACTTAATTCCTCCAGTGTACACAGAACCAGAATAATAGACCACTTTAGAGAGTATACTGTACCATTGTGCCATGTTATAGGTTGATAAGTCAAGCACCTTTCAACGACACAGCTTGATGCCTCAGCAGAGCCATAATCCTCAGTGTGCCAACCTCAACCCCTCGAACTTTTAATATCATATTCACTTGGCAAATCCCTTATCATTTCTCCATCCATCAACTCACATTCTCCCGAAAAATTGATACACTTGATACTAAGTACAATACTATTACAATCCCAAAGCCTTTTCCATAAAACCGCGCAGTTTTCTGCATCCGGACTCATTACGCAGCAGTTTCAGCGAGCTGGACATGTTTCAGTAGATCTTACCAAGTAGATGATCCCTTCCCGCTCTGATTCAACATGCTGCACCATTTTCTCGCATAATGGTCCGCTGGTGCGAGATAATGTCCGCAACTTTGTTCCGGGTCGTAAGGAATAGATATGCCAGTCTGACCCACAATATGCTGTGCACCTATGTATGTGATTTATGGAGGAAATAAGGGGCTTTTGAGCGGCAAAATGCACGTGTGCATTGCTATGGAGAAGGGAGCAAAGTATCAGTGTCGTGGTACAGGCAGGGGCTCTGAAGGCCAGCGATGTTGTTGTGATATGAGGGGTTCCATCCGATATAGGGATGCCAGATTATGTCAACTTTGAAGATGTACATTAGTAGAGCTCGTTCAATGATGCCTGCTTAATTACGGCATTGTAGATTACTTTCATCATTCGCACTATTGGCATCTATGAAGGCTGGGCACGCTAAGTCTATGTCTTAGGTAATAGGGAGAATTTGACTTGTGACAATGTAACATTGACTGATGACAAGGCCAAGTAAGGTTCAAATTAGCCTAACAAAACTCTCTGAAGAGGCCCTATGCCCCGTGGGCTCCATAGGATTGGAGGATACTATGATGGTAGTCTCCAGATCTAGGCCACGCTGAGGATGGAACTGACCCCGCAGTCTCCGATAATTGTCCTGGGCTATATTCATACGCAAATCCCTGTTACCACTCTGTATTACAACTTCTAATTAAATATTAATTTCCTTGGCTCAGTAGAAACGGCTTCATTTCATTCCCTTCTTCCCAGGGCAATAGTAGCCGACTATGCCCCTCCCCGCATGGTACACAAAAGACCCAGGCATGCAGGACATAATGTGACACCAACACCACCCTGCATGCATAATACCTGCAATAATCATCGACTATGTCGTGCAATGCGAATTACAAATCCTCCAAGGCTTGAATGAACTTGTGTCACCCAAACCCATTAACCAAGGAAAGATTTTTAAAACATGTTACTTTTACTACGTTGGTATTATTTCACCGATACCAAAAAACCAACCATTCATTCATAGGTAACAACGCCATTGTAACATACTTTACCAAGCCCATTTTCAACCCGCTAACCAAACTTTATCAGCAAGAGAAACACCCCCACTATAACGAACAAAGTTCACAGCTCCCAGAACACGACAAATGGGAAAATAGCCTCTGGTTTTCTAGAACACCCCAGAATGCCATTAGGGTTGGTATCCGAGTCAGAGGGAGAAAAACTATCGTCGGACAGCAGTCCAGAAAAGGCAGTATGTCCTTTTTTTCCCTCTTCTGTTTTCTCCAGCTCAATGCTACTAGTTAATGGGGTTTCATTTTTGTCCCTTCCATTCGAAGGAGTGTGGAAATGAAAACGAAAAGAAAGTTCAAAAATTACAAATCGCAAGTAATCTATCATCCTGGTAATGTAAGAATGTTACCTTCCTACTTTGCGACTGACCAACACCGCTCCAGTTGGGGTCAAGGCCACACACACACACACACAGGCCATGATCTACAACATCTGCATCCATCTCACCCGCTGACCCAAAATCTGGAATTCCGGGTTAAACAATAAAAAAAGTAACTGGACGGAATTAGCCCCCAAATATATCCGCAATTTTCCCGTGTATGCACCCAGGCCTGCTACGCCTTGCTCTCCCTGATTCTGAGAAATCGAGAATAGTAGCTCGTTCTTCCTTCCCTCTGAAATAGTAAGTAGTATTTTACGTACTAACCGGTTACACAGGAAAAGCAACTAGCGCCGATGGAAAAGGAAGGTCCGCTGGATTTCCATTTCTAGCCCCGTGATGAACCATCTCCGTGCGTAAAGTAATATAGTTTCTTAATTTGGGTCACCTTCAGCTTATCCACTTTCTCTTGCCACGTTTCGCAAGGGGGTCGCTCCCGTCTTGGGCTGAGATGCTGCCGACGGTCTCTCGCTAGGTTGTTGCTCCGTCTAATTCTTTGATGCTCGGATTTGAGGATCGATCTACGTCTATGGCTGCGTCATCGGCCGATGTCGTAGTCAACGTCATTATAATACCTATGTGAAGTTGTATATACATCAACACTGCCTCTTAGGATTCAGAGTCGTGTCTGTCCGACTCCTTTCTGCGTTGTACTTGCATTCCTGTCCTCTGCCGACGGAAGATGACACTTTCGCCCCATGGCTGGATACTGATGCTGACGCTACGCAGAACATGTTACATGTTATACACCCTCGGTTGGGGCGCATTTACCACTCTCTGCTTCATTACGTTCCATTGCTGGAAGCTAGGCAGTCGCATATGTCTTCTTGACAATGCAATCGAGCCCACAACGATCGGAGGTCTCGGGCCGTTAATGCTTCGCTACAGTGGGTTCTACCATGATTGTCTCGTTCCGTGCAACGGAGCAGTCGAATCAGATCCAGATCCTATATCTCTGCTGGGCTCGACTCCAGGTTGTATGACATCAGTCCCAAGCCTGACCAGCTTCCTCCGTGTGCTAAATTCTCACCAATCGCGTATATGCTAGAATATCGGTTATCGCGGGATTACCCTGGCAATGCAAAGCTCCCGCAGGATCCCTATCGTGGGCCAGATCTCGCAAGCATTCATGCAGATGAATATCCTAGAGGATTGGTATCCTTGCGCGTATATCTGTTGGGTAGTCGGCCATTGTTGTTGGCTATCAGCCATCGTGTCAGCCTGTCATGCAGATTGCTGGCCCGTCGCACATGGCTGAGCAGCACGTGGCGCAACGAACTGGCCCCAAGCTGGGTCTTACAGGATTCGTATTGTAAGTATACCAACTTATAAATGACTTCTATTTCTGGCCCCAACTAACACTGCCATAGTGTGGTCGTAGTGAACGTGGCTTTGACAGACCCGTATGCATGGGGCCAGAATGTATGCAAGGCAGCAGGCGTCTGTTTCAGGTATTGTAGAATAGGCGAAGCTGTCTGAGGCAAAGCTGACTGGAGAGCCGAACTCAGTTAAAGGCTTCGTCTCACCCACATTTGCATTTGGAGGGCAGAGTCAAGAGATAGACGCGGTGAGCTGCTGCGCTTATCGGATATAAATCCTAGCTCGGAAACCATGTATTCGGACTTTTGTCCGCATGAGCTTGATGGCAGCTTATGACCGCCGGTGTTCAATTGCTAATGCAATCGCGATCACTTCTGCTGGATAGGAATGCGCTAATTCTAGGTTGGGACAGTAGTGGTGGTGCCCATATTAACATGCTATCACGCATGTCGCCATACTATCTGTGAGGACGTGACCGCCTTTGTTGAATCAACGCTGAGACAGGCTCGGAAAGACACGGAACCCAGTACTGCCTTAGGCTAAGAGTCGGTCTGGCCAGTGATCGGGTGAACAAAGGTCCGATAAACAGCGAAGGAGTGATGTGGTTGGTTGGCCATGGCGATCAGAGGGGCCCGTTCGCCGTAACGAGCTCAATGGCGCAATTGACAAGCTCAATTGATGGGAGAAAGATGAGCCTGTGTATTGATAGCGGTAGTAGAGAGAGAGAGTTAAAGAAATGAGTGAATTGAGGCCAGTAGAAGAATAAAAGAAGCAGCAGGCATGAAAAGAACAGGTGTTTGTGTGGTTTGCAGGGGCCCTACACCGGACGGCCCCGAAGGGAAGGGAAGCGGGCTTAGATAAGCCGCCTGCCGAATTCCGCCTAGCCGCAGGGGAAAGTTTGTTCCCAACATCTCCGTTGAGGAAGTTGAAGATAACAGAATCTCCCTTCCTCTCTTCCAGCTCCTCTATACCCTCCCCGGTTGGACCCTCCCTCTCGTCCATCATGTTGTTCCGCGCTGCGGTCCGTCAGTCCGCGCCCTTGAGGCGTCAGGCCCTCACTCCTCTTGCTCGTCGCTCCGTCACCACCGACGCCGCTTCGTCGCATGCTGAAAATGTCCCCCAGGTTCGTTGAGAGCTCCCTGGATATCCCGGATTGACCTCCGCAATGGCCTCAACTAATGCGATTATCATCTGTCTATAGGAGGATGACAAGCCCTTCACTGTCCGCCTCTCCGACGAGAGCTTCGAGACCTACGAGATCGACCCTCCCCCGTACACCCTGGAGATCACCAAGAAGGAGCTCAAGCAGATGTACTACGACATGGTTTCGATGAGGTATGGCCGCCGTTAGGCCCTTTGCTTTTTTTCCACAAGCCTCATGCAGGATCTAATCTATTGCTCAGACGTATGGAGATGGCCGCCGACCGTCTTTACAAGGAGAAGAAGATCAGAGGTTTCTGCCACTTGTCTACCGGTCAGGAAGCCGTCGCCACCGGTATCGAGCACGCTATCACCCGCGACGACAAGGTCATCACTGCCTACCGTTGCCACGGTTTCGCCATGATGCGTGGTGGTACCGTCCGCTCAATCATCGGTGAGCTGCTTGGTCGCCGTGAGGGTATCGCCTACGGAAAGGGTGGTTCCATGCACATGTTCGCCCCCAACTTCTACGGTGGTAACGGTATCGTCGGTGCTCAGGTCCCCGTCGGTGCTGGTCTCGCTTTCGCCCAGCAGTACAACGAGGAGCCCACCACCTCCATCGTCCTCTACGGTGACGGTGCCTCCAACCAGGGTCAGGTCTTCGAGGCCTTCAACATGGCCAAGCTGTGGAACCTCCCCGTTCTGTTCGGTTGTGAGAGTAAGTCAACGTCACTCCTCCGACACTATTCTTCACGACAGGCATAGCTAATAATCTTCCACTAGACAACAAGTACGGTATGGGTACCTCCGCCGCTCGTTCCTCCGCCTTGACCGAGTACTACAAGCGTGGTCAGTACATCCCTGGTATCAAGGTCAACGGCATGGACGTCCTGGCCACCAAGGCCGCCGTCAAGTACGGTAAGGACTGGGCCGTGGCCGGCAACGGCCCCCTGGTCTACGAGTACGTCACCTACCGTTACGGTGGTCACTCCATGTCCGACCCCGGTACCACCTACCGTAGCCGTGAGGAGATCCAGCGCATGCGCAGCACCAACGACCCCATCGCCGGTCTCAAGCAGAAGATCCTCGACTGGAACGTCTGCTCCGAGGACGAGCTCAAGTCCCTCGACAAGGCCGCCCGTGCCCACGTTGACGAGGAGGTCGCCATCGCCGAGAAGATGCCCCTTCCCGACAACACCCCCCGCATTCTCTTCGAGGACATCTACGTCCGTGGCTCCGAGCCCAAGTGGATGCGTGGTCGCACTGTCGACGAGACCTTCTACTACTAGATATACCCATAACCACTCCAATCCAAATCTAGATATGTTTCTTTAAAAACACAAGGCTCCCTATTTTCCAGTGTGAAGAAATGAACCTTCAGTTGGCAAGAACTCTGGATGATGATGACAAGGAAAGAAGAAAAAAAAAGGAAGAAGAAAGGAGGAGCAAGTGAAGGAAGTAGGTCATCCTTTTGTTTTTTCTCTCTGTTGTGTTTGGAAACGCAAAAGTTTAGACCGCGCACGCACGCACACATCACGCAACCAGACCATTTGGGATTTGGCAGGCTCCTACCTACTACTTACTTTACTACGCAAAGGCATCCATACCATGGATATGTTTACTATGTAATTTAGCCCGGGAAATTTTTCTGTTTTTTATTTATTTTTTTTTTGCATTACTCCAAGCTTTCAATATCTTGAAGTTTCAGGTCCTCTCCTACTAGCTAGTATGTCTATACCTGTAAAGCATTAAGTTAGGGGGTATGCCTCTGGGAGCTAAGATGTCTGTCGATAGTGTTGAGTGAACACTACTCTCTACAGATATGGAACTTGTGTAGTGAAAGTATAGGTAGGTTGTATATATGTATTGTTGCCCCGAAAGGTCATAGTGAATAGTATATGAAAATGGAAAGAAAATAAATATGAAATGAGAAGAGAAAGGATGTTGCCAGCAGTCAGTCGCTCAGTCCGGTCACATATCCGTACTGCAGCAGTCAAAGAGTATAGGAAAAGAAAAGAAAGTTAATAAAAAGAGATAGAATATAAGATAGTCGACATACTCGTCCATGGGTATCATCTGGTAAAAAAAAGAGGACGCACGAATATTTAAACAGAAAGCAAGAGGATATAGTGAATATGAGAGGAAAAATAAGAAAGTGAAAATGAGAGAGGAAGAAAAAGCAAGTTCTCAAGCAGGCTCCTGTCTCAACATTTCAAGGATCATTTCCTGCGTCCGCTGCACCGAATCCAGTTTCTCTTCGAGCGTGGCTCGATCTTTTTCCAGCTCGGCGCGCACTTCAGCGCGCATTTCTTGTCGGAGTTCATCTTTAAGTTTGTTGACGAAATCGGATGACAGGTGCGTGAGCCCAATTTGTGCGACGGACGCAGGAGGGTGATCATGTGTAGCCGTGTTGAGTTCCGCTGGTTGAGCGTCCTGGCGCTGTTCGCGAGCACGGGATCTGGAGGGTGATGTCGGTTTCTTGGGCGCAGATAAGGTAGGCTGGGTATTGACCGAGTCGAGGTGACGATTCAGTTTTCCCAGTGTCTCCAGCATAGCGCTCATCATAGAATTATCCGTCCCTGATGGCGGATTATTTGTGGTTGCTGCTGCTGCTGGAGTGGAGGAAGGCGTTGCCCGCTGTTGTGTCGCAAGCCCATCCGGCACACTAATCGCCGGAGATGGGGTCTGTAGTCCTTGATTCGAAAACATACTATCGAACCCTGGGGGTAGTCGCACTGTGCTCTGCGAAACAGGAGTCACAGGTCCAGGCTGGTGCTGGCTGACCGTAGGAAGCGGGCTTGCTGTGCCCTTCCACTCGTCACTGGGACTCATAGTCCATGTATCCCATGGGCGGTCTTTTCTCTTCCTCGGTTTGCGCGAATCGCGCTTCTCGATCCGCCGGGCCTCTGCGTCCTCCCACCTCCGCCATGTAGGAATCCATGCGTCCACTGCTGCCCGCCACCGGGGATTCGACAGGTCTTCGCTCGCGTCCGCACCCTTGTCGCGCTGCTCGTCGAGGAACTTCATCCGCTGTTTTGTAACCAACTCCACCTTACGGCGTACCGAATGCCACGAGTATGGATGTCCCTGGTCCTGGGTGAACTCTTCTGTAACAGTCATCCACCATTTACAGAGATTACTGCGCTGTCCGAATTCGCTCGCATGCCGGTTGCAGATGTTGAACAACGAGACTTCTTCCAGGGTGGTCAATCGTTTTCCATGCTTGCGCGACCGATCGCCGTTTGGCGCGCCATCGGGATCGTCGTCATGGTCTTCCATTGGATAGGGTCTAACGACACTGGCTGCTGCTGCATGGAGTGCGGCTCGATTAGCCGCGGTGCCGTTAGGCATAACCCCGGCGGTAGTCGTAGGTCTATGTCCGGACTGTCGGGAAATATTCGTTCCAGCCAGATTATCGGGGGATGTGCCGTAATCGGGATCTGCGAGAGCGTCGGCGTGGGTGGGGTCGCGCGCACCGGGATCCGTATGGTCACTAGCTTCGCTTTCAAGGGTCTCAGTCAGTGGTTGTTGTGATCGCGAATCGATAACGGCTGGTCCAGGTTGGCGCGTTTGTGGGCGTGCTGGTTGGTGATTGTGTGGATGGGAATGGGTATGAGGATGGGAGAGGGCAGTTTGCGGCTGCGGCTGCGGTGGTGTTTGGGAAGGCTGCGGCGATGGGTGCTGCTGTTGTTGTTGTTGTTGTTGTTGTTGCTGCTGCTGCTGCTGCTGTTGTTGCTGGGCTATACGAAGATTGGAAGACGACAAGGTGGGAAGAGGTGTTGCGCGCGATATCATAGACGGGAGCCATCGTAACCCAGGCACTTGTAGGGAGGATTGAGTAGTGGAGGAGGGGGAGTCGATGCGAGGTCCAGAAGAGGCGGCGGCGGCATTGGTCGTGGAGCCATGCCAGGGATACATTGACATGGTCTGTGATACTGGACTGTCTGTGCAACTGGCGGGGTATAATTAAGAGGACAAGAAATAGCAAAAAGGACGATGGGGATGAAGCAGCAGCAGTGGACGCACTGCCGGCGTGCTGGAGATTTGAAGAGGGAAGAAAGAGGAAAAGGGAAGTCGAAGGTCGAGGTCGAAATCGAAATGAAAATTGCTCGGTCGGATTTGCAATTTCGAGGGTTGACAGGCGAAAAGCCCCCCGCCGATCGGGGCCCGGCGTGTATTTTTCAGCTGACGGTAAGCCGACCACCATGGTCACTTCCCTTTTTGGCAGGTATACAATACATGCGGTATCGCGTCAAAATGGTAGACAAAAAATCATACGGGGACTGTGTTAAAATAATTGAACTGTATATAATTAGTTGAATATATAAGAGTGAGAATTATAGTAAGAAGTGAGGATATATTTCATTGGTGATTTACATTTGTGATCATCCTGCTCCAACACCGCTGCAACATGATATTGACCCTCTCCTATCAACAGAGGACCAGACAGATAAGATATAAAGATACACGGTGAGCACACCGACAATGCAGAGAGAAAGATCTAAGAAACAATCAAACCAGCGACCCAGTAATACAATAAGACTGTGGAACATGCCCGCAGAACAGCGAAAATAAACCCAAAGAACAAAAATAGAGGGGGGCAACTAATTAGTACAAGCATTTCTCATGCGTCTACCGCCGTCTCAGGTACCAGTGGTATGCCAGCGCTCCAGTCGCAGGACTGAAGGGCGACGGCACCTCCGACAAGCCCGGACGAACCACGGGGTGGCGCAGGTAAACGGCTGCACAAGCCTTAGGGTGCACCTCCAAGTAGCGAGGGATCGTGGCAAAAGCGCTCATGAAGTCCCGCGGCCGCCAGGGCGTAGCGTACGGCTTCGAATGGTCGATCGGGTTATCACGCATCTGGACAAGGGCACGACGAAGAATCTGGAACTCCTCATCGGTCAACTCGGACGTGTCCACCTCCTGTTCGGGGTTCTCAGCAGCCTGGCGGAATGCCTCGGACAGCTTATCACCGGGCTGAGACTCGCTGTCTGCCTCAGCAGCGGCCTTGGTGTTGGTGGACTTCTCGGTATTGGCAGCTGTGGTATCCTGACTTTCCTTCTTCTCTACCTTCTTGGCCTTGAGCAGCAGAGTCAGCTCGGAAAACTGAGCCTCCAGGTTGTCGGCTAGAACGTTTGAATCAGAGCGAGACAGCACACGACGGACGGCCTTCTGGAATCCACGCAGCTCCTGCTTCCGCTTGGCCGGAAGCACCGACTTGTTGTCGGCCATGATGTTCTTGGCCTGAGACAGCAGAGCCTGCAAGGTCTGGCGCGGGGACTGGACTTCCTGCTTATCCTCCTGCTTATCCTCCTCCTTGGCCTCACCCTCTTCCTCGGCTTCCTCAGCCTTCTTTTCCGTCGCCTTCTCCGCTTCCTTCTCAGCAATACGGGCCGCGCGCCGGTCGTACTTGTTCTTCGGAGCACCGGTGGCAAACATGACACGGTCGGTCTCGACCTGGAACAGATCACCAGGGTTGAGCAGGTAACCGGGGTATCTCATCTGTCAAACGTAATCGATCAGCTTTCAATGGCAGCGCCTAAATGGAAAGGACCATGCAGCGTCCCAGGCACACTCACCTTCTTTCCATTGACCGTGACCGCTCCATGAATGACAAATTGCCGCGCCTGCCTCGTACTGCTGGCGAACATAGCCCGGAAGACGGCCACATCCAGCCGGCGCTCTAGGGGAGCAAAAGTCGCCTGTGTATAGGGAAAAGGTCTGTCCAGTTGATCGGTCTCGACTCTCTCGAGCTTCGAGACTCTAGAGGACGCGGCTGGATCAGGCCGCGGCTCAACACCCATACCACGACCGGCGGACAAGGCAGAACCATCGTCTTTGGCCAGTTTGGCGGGATCCATGGGCATCACGCTGCGAATGCGGGGAGAAAACATGCGCACCCAGTGCTTTTCGGAGACCTGTTCACCATGATATCCACGGGCTATCGATTTGGCATCCCATTTTTGCTGGAAATGGGTTCGGAACATGGGGTTCTTGATGGAGAACCGCTTCAAGTTATATAGGTTCCATTTGCTCCATGATTGCCGGACTTTCTAAGCAAAGCATACAAGAATTAGCAATTGCGGCCAGATGAGCAAGGAGACAGAGCAAGGAATATTTTCATACCGGCTTGCTCAGATGCTGGGTCGCCCTGTTCCTCATGATGGCGAGATGGGCAGGGTATGGCCTGCTAGCAGATGTCTTCTTGTCTGTCTCGCTGCCCGTCGGCCTCTTTTCCCATGCTTTCCCGGCCGCCCAAAACTTCGCAGGCGCACGTGATATCAATCACGTGTAGGAGTGATGGTTTGATGCCATCTGTCTGAGGCATCAAGTGTCTTTGATAGCCTATGCCTCTGATTGGTGGAACCAAGCTCGCTTACTCTTAGCGTTCTTTCACCGCCTCCACCGACGGGTATATAATCTTCGCTCGCCCGCCCAACTTTTAGAATCTTTTTTTCTTTCTTTTCTTCATACTTACCTTGTTTGGGTGGCTGCGATCAAGAAGGCGGTCCACCAC